GAAAATATTTTTGGTAATTTTATCGGCCTCGGGCAAGATATTTCTTTTTCAACCGAATTCAAAAAAGGAAGAGATTCTCAACTTGGTTGTTTTTTTTTATGTTTGATACCTCAGAACTCCGTCAATTACGTATCGATTTTAAAAATTCTTTTTGACTTTGGCTCGGTTTATCTATCATTGATTGTAGAAAATGTGTAGTGTAGTGGGATATTTGAAGTCGGTTTTATGATTTTCTTAAATTGTTTTATTTGTGTATAATACGAGTAGCACTCGTAAATACCAAATATCATTAATAGCACACTAATGGCTAACAAAAAAACAGGTTTTTCTAGTGTGGTGCGAAACGACAAAATATTTTTCTTGATTTTATGTTTTTTGGGCAATAAATTTCTTAGCCTTTTTTTAATAACAACACTGACAAATAGGACCTTGCAGACTGCCATTGCACCGGTCGGCGTATTGTAGGTGTACACGGGACATAAATTTCTGTTCTCCATACGTATTTTTTCCGATTCTAGGTATTGTGTTGTCTTCGTCATTTCTAAACATCATGTTTCAGAAATTTCCCAGAACTAATCTCTTGCGCGGGATTCTTTTCTTTTTAACTTGAACCTTTTACAAATAAGAAATCAATACAGCACTTTAGACGACGGACTAGTTACTCCAGGAAAGCCTGAAAGAACAGAAGCGAGGTAAAATTTCAGCAGCCCGCTACTTTTATATAGCAAACAAAAGAAAAATTTAAACGACAGAGAACTATAGAGACAAATCACTAAGTAATCAATAAAAAAAATTCGATAGTCATCTATAGTTTACGAGAAAAAAAAAGGAATTAAATCTTGTTATCACTAAGAAAATCCGCCATTTTACTATTGTCAACATTTTCACATTTAAAACCTTCCGTAAAACACTGTCTTGTCCACACTTAAAACATTCAATTTTCTTTACAAGAATTCATGATAACACAAAAAATTAAAAAGTACTGAACGATTTGATTCCGATTGGAATAAATTTTTATTAAAAAATAAGACTTATAGTGGTAGGGCCACGCAGCAGCCTCGGCTGTTGCACGAATGGGCGGGCTCGTCCGGGTAAGTACCACGACCTCACAGAAGACCGGCGTCAAGTGGAAGTATAATACTTTCGCGTTTCGTCTGGTGAGTGAGGTAGCCGTAGCTCAATTTCCAAAAAGGTTGTCATCGCATCTGCAAACCCTCGGGTGTAGCAGATATCCATGGGCGGCGGTATTCACTTAACATCAGGTGAACCGTCTGCTCGTTTGGCAACTTTCCCATAAAAAAAAGTTTACTTATGACCGCAGGCTTAATTGAGGACAGAACAATAGAGAATCGTTGTATTATCACCATCATCATTCCAGTCTGTTTGAGTCCACTGCTGAACATATCCCGAGCCACCTACATCCATCGGTTTCCCGCACTGGGGCAAAACCCTTCATGAATGGAAGTCCAAACGATGTGTATTTATTTATAACTGAGACCTCGCCACAGTATATTTTGTTCCGTAATTATTTTTAAAACGTCGCGACCTTCACCGAGCGTTATTCGTGGCATATAATTATAATGTAGCAATACACCGTGGGCGATGTTTTGCAATAATTTGCCACAACTGTACTGTTGCCTTTTTTATGCCTTGTTTCGCGTCGAGCTATCGACGGTACAGGCGAATTTACACGCCTAGAATTAATCATTAATGCAAATCGATCCGGGACTCAATAATTATTATTATTGTTTTTATTTGAAACATTTCACGAGAAGGCAAATCCAGTCTTGGTCGCCGCTGTTTTATTTTCATGTTAAGTGAAAATCGTCGCGCATTGACATTTCCAACAGCCGTAGGCTTGCAGATGCGTTGCCACCTTTTAATAAAATTGGTCCCGTCTACCTCATCCACCAGACGAAACGCTAGTAGTATAACACTCACTTCACGCTGGTCTTCTGTGAGGTCGTGACACTTACCCGGACGGACCTGCCCATTCGTGCAACAGAGAAGACTTGCGTGGCCCTACCACGTTTAATGTTCCACATAACTTCCGTCGATAAATTACACCATACACGAAAAATTTTCTAATAATATCATTAGATTAGAAGGATTAGAATATTTAAATCCTTGAACTCTGCTTAGCAATTTCAAACCAAAATTAGTCACTTAATACAAATTATTGAAACAAACCAACAGACCTAAATAATGTACCATTAAAACATAGGAATTAACTAATAAGTTTTTTAAGCTTTCAAAGTAGTCTCTAGCACAAAAAAGCGGTCAGTTAAATTACTGTCTATTTATGATTACTTACCCAATTACAAATGTTGGTTTTTTAGTTGCTCCCGGAAATTCATTATTATCAATATAATATTAAATTTATCTAATATTAATTATCTTCGTTTTTATTTTATATTACGATAAACATGTATATAATGTTATACATATAATTCTAGTCGTTGATCGTATTTTATATAGAATAAGCGAAAAATAGTCTAACGAAGACGTACTATGATACTACACATCGCCCATTCGTCACCCTTAATGATTTTGTAATTAGTACAGACAAGGCCATTGAATGATAAATATTCCCAGCTTTTAAGTATAAATTACTTACTATATAAAAAAAATTGTATTTTTAATAACGTACGTATATTTATGCCATAGTTTTAATAGCTGATACCCATTACATTGAAACCATACGAAAGGCTAAACACGAAGCACCGCATAGAGGTTTCTTTTGGCTTTGTTTTGAGTCGTAGCCTTGACAACAGGTTGGACAATGACGACACCGGCCTCAGGAATACCTACAAATGTAACGTTTCTATTATAATATTAATACGCTTATAACTCTAATGAATTTCTACGTCGTTTGACCAAATTTTTGCGAGCAGGCAATGACTTGAAAAGCGTGCCTTAATAATAAAGACGGGCGTGCCTTAATAATAAAAACGTATTCGCTTAGAGCCCCAATACTTAATGTTTAATGTAAATATGAGAAATATTACTGTCAGCAATAACTGCAGGTTTTTAACCATACTGCTGGCACTTGTTTTTACAGTTAAGGACAACAAACAAAGCGGTTTCCAAACTGTTGTATTTTGAAACTTCATCTTTTTTATCATTAACTGGTTTTAATATTTTATGTACAGACAGATTTGGTTATGGAGAATGAGATAGAATTTTGACGTAAGTATTATGGAGCTAATGTCAAATACTGCTTCAATATTCTCTACTAATAAATGTATTAGTAGAGAATATTGAAGCCGGCCGTAAAACGTCTCGAAATTATTACATTTAGATTTATTTGGTTTTAAAACGACGATGATGCATGTAATACACACGTAAAAAGTTACATCTCGGCCTCTAGGTTATCAGATTGTGCCTCAATTCTTTACTCATTCATAGCTTTTATGTGTCATAGCCTTGTTCCGCGGCCATCAAAACACTACGGCTGTGAGACATATATTTTAAATATAGTAAGTAGTAAACTTGTACTATTCAAAATTACATATTTTCGACGACTGTGTTAGGGCAGTTGTTGAACGATAGAATTATGCACCCATTTTGAGTTCGCCCTGCATCTTGTTTTTTCCTTGAACAATTTTTGTAATGTACTGTTTTAAAACCAATAAAAATATATAAAACTCCTTATGAACTGCTATATCAATACAGGTGGCATAACACCTTAGCTTTTGGACACGAATGCTTAATCCAAATGATTGTATTCTGCGATCAGGGACGGTTAGTGTGAAAATTTTTCGACATCTTGTAATTTATTATTTTTTAACCGACTTCGAAAAAGGAGAACTGCCATTTATGAAAAGATTTTAATGATTCGCTTTAAATTTTGCCTTAGATTCGGTTTAGCTCCCATGTGGTCACATAATAAATTAATTGATATTGGTCCTGAAAGGCGAAAAGAAAATGTATACTAAAGTCGGTCTTTTTTTGTTAATAAACATGTTTTAATATGTTTTTAAATTGTTTCAGTGTCTTATAACCGTTAGAAGAATTAATGCCAATGAGACGGATAGATTTATTATAGGATTATTTAGATTTTGCCATGGAAGCCTTTCCACTGCTCCAGACTAGTTAGGACTGAAGGTGAACTGTATCGGCTGCTTGAGCAGTATCGATTCTTTCGTTACGTGCCAAAGGAACGTTTGAGTTGTCCTAAAACCACCTTCCCTCGAATTTTACACTTTTCAGAGATTCATGAGAATATTTTTTATCATGGGCTGACTAAATACTTGATACTTAATAATATCGTTAGATGGTAGACGTATTTACTCACAAAAAAAAAACATACTATCTCTGATTGTGTTGCTAAGGATATTTACGTGGGTTGTCACACCCCGCTCAAATTTACTCTTCTATAGAGACCCTTAATTCAAGGGATGGCATCTTTATGGACAAAAACAATGAATCCCTGAACGCATATGAAATATTTTTGAAATGTATAATCACACCGTGTTTCATATTAACGCATAGCCGTTTTGTTTTCTGTTGCTGTTTAACTGTCCTTGAGCTATATAAGATACTTTTTTTACTTAAATTAAATAGGATCTGTTAGTTGAACCGCTTCAAGGTAATTAACGAAAGAAGATCATAACAGCATGGAAGCTCTTTGCCCTTCTAGGATTGGCTTATGTGGTTATTCCCCAAGTGAACCTTCACATAACGCAGACATTTTTTATGAGAAGATGGCAGGCGTACTGGTGGTTTGAAGTTAAGGTTGCAATTGCATGATCAATCTTTAAAAACGGAGGCTCTGACTACCTCACTTAGCAGACGAAATGCGAAACTATAATGATTCTACTTCACGCCGGTCTTCTGTGAGGCCGTGGATGGGTCTTCCCATTCGCGTAACAAAATTGCTGCGTGACTGTCACAAGAAAAAATGGACAGTGACGTACAAACAGTAAGGAGCAAACGTCTACCTTCTTGAACATATCCCATAAATAAAACATTAGTGATGGGAAGTGTTCGTGATGCAGGTGCCCCCGCTACAGTGCGAATCCAGTGGCAGCTCGGCGGATGGGTCTTCGAGCGAGGAGGCGGCTGGCCCGTACGCCAGCGAGCACAGCGAGCCGCACCCGCGCAACGACGACGGATATGAGGTGAGCGCGACCTGAGAGCTCCAGGGTACGCCCTGCATAACATTCAAATATAACTTTAAATTATGATTTTTTAATGGATAAATGAACAATAACTTTCGGGGCTTGTGGATTCGAATCCTAGCTTAGTTGGTCGCGAAACCGGAAGACGGAGGTTTGAATCCAGCAGTGCCTAAAGTTTATATGCGTTTCTTATATTTTATTTTAATTTTTTTTGTTATATAATTGTTATAATAATATTGTTATTATAGTAATAGTAATAGTTGTTAGTTTACTGTTCGTGCGCTGGAACCAAATTGCTGATATCATTACTTTCCCCCATAAAGGCTGGGCCTAGTGTGGACGTTAGTATGTACAATTGTAAACCTATATTTAAATAAAACATTTTTCATACCCGTTATACTCCGAGATACAACTACTGGACCTAGAACGTTAAAGCATTTTTTTTTAGTTAAAACGTTGCATGTATTATTATTGGAACTTACTCAACTTTGCAGGCCGACGTGGAGATTGGAAGATTGGAAGCTTCCGAAGCGTACAAATTACGAAAACTCTCAGACTCCATGTCAGTGCTTAGTGGCCTATCCGGTAAGTTTAATACTTTGCTATGTATAACAATTCTGTTATATTATTGGCATATTGTTAATTTTACTTACATTTATAGACGATTGTATATAGAGTCAAGAACAAGTTTTATTCTGGGTAATGTTTTGACATTTGTAATAAACTTTTTCGTTTATTGTATACAAACTATACAGGGTGGCTTTGCTAAGTGTATCCATTTTTTTAAATTAAATTCTAGACATATATAACATGATAAATATTTAAAATCAGTCGTAAGTAATTAATAACATTCATTTAAACTTATCTCAAAAAGTGTGTGATTTATACGCAACTGGTTTATTTTACGCGTAATCATTCATAACTAACACGCACAGAAGCTCGTGCACAGTAAAATTTAGGTATTTTTGATAACTATCGCATTGTCACGTTCTGCTTTTTAGGGAATAGAATGGCATTTTTTTTTTTTGGAAAAATAAATTTTGTTTTTTATTTCAATAAACGATTATACTACCGAGTCTGAACCTCCCGTGTAAATTTGGGCACTTCTCAAAAAATCTCCCTGAATATATTCGAGGTGTCTGTTAATGCTTACACAATTATCCACCTAACTGACGTGGCCATGTCAGCGGAGAGCCAGTCGCCGCTGGAGGCTATCGGCGCCGAGTGCCCGCCGGAGAGGCCGGGCGAGCTGGCCCACCCGGAACTGTGCCTCATCGTCGTCGACATACTCACACAGCTCATACAGAAGTTAGTGCTACGACTCTCTTGATATAATAATTTAATGTATAGTTGGATGGATGTATAGAAAAGATAAAAGAAGAAAAAATAACGTATGTGTTTACTTATGAACGCACGTAAGTTAAACATATTTTGTGTAACAAAAGAAAAGTTATTAAAGATTTTATCCCGTATGCCATTAGTCTTTGTGATGATAAGATTTTTGTTTGCCATGGAAACACCATGTTTTTACCGTGCATCGTAAAAATGTATCCTCATAATTAAGAAGTAAAACTTTAAAATACTCGAAAACAACATAAAATGTCGTTTGGTTCTCGGATGAGTTTGTAACGCCGTCGCTAAGCCACCGACCCGAATAGACGGGATAGGGCAGGAGTATGCCGTCGGCCGTTTGGTCCTTCGAGCCGGATGTTGGTAAAAGTGAGGGGTGTGCGCAGGGTGGTGGGGGCCGGCGAGGGCGCGCAGGAGCGCCTGGGGCGCGTGTGCGTGGGGCTGGCGCGCGCGCTGGCCGCCCGGCTGGCGGGGGGCGGGGCGCCCCTCGCCCGGCTGGCGGGGGGCGGGGCGCCCCAAGGCCTGCTGCGCCGCCTGCTCGCGCCGCCCGCCGCCGCGCTGCTCGCCGCCGCCGACGCGCGCCTCGCAGGTCCTCACTCTGGCCTCCTCGCCGGCTGTACCGTACCGATGGATAATTATAACTTTCTCTTTACACTTCTAAGACTACAATTTTATTGATGCTGTTCATTGTGTAACAGATATCAAATTATAACGTTTAAAATTCCTTATTATTTTAGTAAAAATAGACATGTCTTAAGGTTATGCTTTGAACTGCTAGCCAATCACTATTCATCGCGGAAGGTAAACAACATATCGGGACGATCGTTTAAATAAACCTTTATGTTATCGTTATACAAAAGTGCACATACCTGTCGGATATCAAGTCGGTCAATAAATTACATTTCCGTCGGGCCCCCAGAGCTGCAGCACAGCGTGCTGGAGCTGATCCACGTGGTGGCGTCGCAGGGCATAGAGCCCAACGAGCTGGCGGCGCTGCTGCAGCTGTTCGCGGCCGACGCGCCGCCGCTGGGGCCCCTGCTGGCCGCCCTGCAGCGGCTCGTGGCGGAAGCCGAGCCCTGCACGCCGGACTTCACCCTGACCTTCCCCGTCCGGCCGGACACCGAGCCCTGCGAAGGTGGCGACGGACTCAGTCCGTTCTTTTATGTGAAACGTCGCCAAGCGAGCAGACGGTTCACCTCATGTTAAGCGAATACTGCCGCCCATGGACATCTGCTACACCTAAGGGTTGCGTTGACAACCTTTTGAAAATTGGCCGTGCACTTTCATTAAATTATATCATCGTGTGAGGGCTTCGAATCGTTGATTCTAATCGCCGTTTTGTTTTACAAATTATCTTTGTCTAGCATGTTAAGGTTGAAAGACTTATTTGAGAGAATTATTTGATTTTATTCCGTTTGGGTCACTGGTTGCACCTAAGAAAAGTCACAAGAAACTTTAACGTAAATTTGCTATTAAATAACATCAGGAGTTCGAAAAATTACTTCAAAAATAAACATTTTCATGACGGCAGTTAGTTAACAATTCATTCGGACGTTACAATCTTTGTATTCTAGTCAGACATACCGGAGCAGCTCCATCGAACAACACCTAATTTTGTATTATGACGATCTTTTACGCGAATATAAGTTTTTAAATTTTCAATTCGTTTGAAACTTTAAAAACTTATATTCGCTTTTCAACTTTTTTTCCCTATGAGATAAACACTTTTTTTTAATTGACACGATAATTTGCATTGCGCGTTGCATATAGTACAACGTTGCCGTTACCTTTATCAGCAGAACCAGAAGACCTCGACGAGGAGAGCGGTTCCCGCGCCAGTGCGGCCGAGCTGACCGCGCGACACCTTCAGCTGCCGCCCATCAGACCTGGTACGTTGTTCTGAAGTCACAGCAGCGGTATGGGTGGCTGTCCAGTTATTTTTTTACAGGACGTGGCAAAACAGTCAAGTTGTCAACTAGATAATTATAAATGGGTATCCGAAACGAAAAGAAGTCGCCCTATATCTCAGCTCTTCCGTTTTCCTCTTGAGTAAATACGATTGTAAAAGAACGGGAGCCTTGTTATAGAGTTTAATACCATAATGTAGTTCCTACCATGTCACTAATTTTTTTGCCGCTAATTGCATCAAGCGACAGTACAGTATCTAGTTTCCAAGCTTACAAAAATGCTTGAAGCGAAAATACTTAAGTAATTGTGTATTAGATACAAAATTTACAGCTTACCTTTGTTCTCGCTCTCCCAATTGTCTGGTACCACTGTAAGGGACGGTCGCAGGGTGCGCGGCCCGCTGCAGCCTGGACGGCGCCGGCTGGGCGCCCTGGCTGCAGGGCTTCGCGCTCGTGCTCTGGCTCAGGACCCTGCCAGGTGCGTGCCTTCTGATGCCTGATGCCTGATGATGATCATGGGAGAAATGCTAATCTATATTGGTCATACGATCAAAATTATTCACAAGCTTGAAAACTAGTCTTAATATACTAAGAAATAATACAGTTAAATGTGGTAATCCTTTCTATGTTGATGCGTTAACTTGTGCGACAGAGGACAAGACGCGTGAGCCCGAGGGGGCGGATAGTGGGGCGGAGGGCGTGGCGGGGGCGGGGGGGGGGGGGGGGGGGTGGCGGGCCCCTCTCGCACGTGGCGTCGCTGGGCCACGACTCGCTCATGTTCGAGCTCTGGATGGACGTCGCCACCGGTGCGTATCCACTCACATAGACATCTGCACGAAACACTTTCATCTGATACGAACTTTTTTACTTCGGGTCTCATATGAGTTGTACTTTTAGTTCCTTCAGTGATAGATGATTGAAATGATGGGGGATGCCCAATTTCATGGGTGGGAAACACATTCAAATTCTTCAAATAGTCCGAAACTATAGGTCATATAAAGGGTTAGCTAATGTTCAATATAACTGTTTATGGTCTTAGAGTTGGCTCGAGTTTTATATGATCTTTGCTAGGCAACAAATCATTACAAAAGCAAAAAAAAGAATGATGCGTAAAAATCAATCAGTGAAAAAATTTTGGCTTGATTTCGAGCGATAGAACGCTTTCGCCGGTTACGAGCTTTCCAAAATTGAAACAAACAACGATCTTCAAGGACGTTTCGAGAGAGAGAAAGAAGAAGAAAGACGTACCGGTGTATAAAGATTGAGTGTTGCAATGTGTGCGACGCAGGCGTGCCGACGGCGCGGCTGACGCGCGCGGAGGCGGGCGCGGGGGGCGGTGCGGGGGGGGGCGGTGCGGGGGGCGGTGCGGGGGGCGCAGGGGGCGGTGCGGGGGGCGCGGGGGGCGCGCGGGTGCTGTGCGAGGCGCGGGCGGCGTGCTCGGTCGCGCCGCGCCGCTGGGCCTGCCTGGCGCTGCTGGTGCGCGAGGCGGTGCTGCGCCGCCGCATGCACATACAGGTGGGCACGCTCACGCAACAGCCTTCGCAGCTCCCTCCGGCCGCGCCAGTACCACCACCTCATGCAACACCCCCGTCGACTGAGAGTATCATATTATCCGTCTGGCGAGTGAGGCAGCCGGCCCTTTTTATTATTATTTTTTTTAATAAATTACCTAAGATCATAAAAGATCAACCATTAATTACCTAAGTTCAAAATGTGTCTAAGAGCTTCTACATTTTACTCGATTAAGAAATTTCTATATCATAAAGAAAATAATAGTTGACATGTTAAAGTTTACGTTATCAAATCTTGTGTCAATTTAATTTTTAATTTTTTAATCTCCTACATTGCTGCTGAACTTGAAGTTCAACAATTGTAATCCAACTCGTTAAACACCCAGTTTAAATCGAAATAAAGATTTGTTTTTATCAAGCGGTGGCATCGCATCTACAACTCTCTACAGGTGTTGCCAATGTCAATGGATGGAAGTTATCACTTAAAATCATATGAACCGTCAGCCACCTTCTCACTTAAAAAAGCCTCGCCCGTGGCAGACCTCCCACCGCGTTCTCATCCGCCACTCTTTCAACGCTCCTTCTATTCCGCAGGTCACGTTCTTCCTCAACGGCCGCGAGTGCGACACCGTATCTCTACCGCTGCCAGGTGAGTGTCCAATTTTTAACCTTTGGTTGCTGATATAACAAAGATTACATTTAAACTTATATTTTTTGTTCTTTTGTGACCTTTTTTTTTTGACAAAACATCGGTAAATTTTTATAGCAATCTAATTTTTAAAAAATTGCCACGTGTTGTTGTCCATCCCTCCCACAGAGATACTTTTGTCCTTCCTTTTACGTTCCGTAACCGACGAGCGGCGCTGTTCGTAGGCATCCTGGTCCGCAAGGCGACGCCCACGTCGATGCTGCTGGGGCAGGCGGTGGGCGGCGGCCCAGAGGTGGGCGTGGGCGGGCGCTGGCAGCTGGGCGGGCTCAGCGTGTACCGCTCGCCCGCGCTCACGGCGCCGCTGGCGCTGCACCTGGCGGCGCACGGGCCCGACCACGCCTGCCAGGTAATGCCGCTTCTCCGATGCCGGATTTACCAGCAGGCCGAGTAGGCTAGAGCATAGAAACAAATAAATAAAATCATTATATCCATAGAGACAACGAGTCTGAATCCGCCAGTGCACGTCTCCGTCTTTTTCGATCAGCGTTGCTGCGTAAGAAAACAGCTTATTTGCTCTATTCTCCGAAAAGGGTACTTGCAAAATAATAAAATGTAAAGTCTTACTATGTACGGGTAAAATGTATATAAAACCGCTAGCTATCTTTGCGATTGTCTGCGATCCGACAGGTGCGGTGTGAGGAGCCCAACTTCGCCGCCATCCTGACGCCCGAAGTCCTGGACACGAACGTCGACTGGGACCAGGTGAGGGGCGAATCCTGGCCTCCCAAAGGGCAGGTGCGCCTTCGTGGAAGAGCGCTTTGACGCGTTCCCTTGCGGCGCAGGTGTTCGAGCCGCCCAGCCCGGCGCTGCGGGACCTGCGCGCCGCCCTGCTGCTCTCGTTCGCCCCGCAGGCGCCTCAGTGGGCGCGCCTCCACTCGCAGCCCGCGCCCGCGGCTGGTGAGGGCCACCTCCTGGTCTTACCTTGTGTTTTGTGTGGAAGGGGTTGGGTAGTATGTCGCAACTGCCATTGCGACCTAGAAAGATCCATTGTAGTGTTGCCAGCTTATTGTGGTATCCCAATATCCTGTGCTGTAAGGACGGGCACCCCGTCGCCTGTGCAGCGTTCGGGCGCGGCGAGGCGAGCGAGCGAGTGCGCGTGCGGTGGGCGGGGCGGCCCTCGCCACAGCGCCACTCGGGCCTGGCGCCCGCGCTGCTGCTGCTGGGCGGGCCCGACCTGCTGCTCTACCTCTTCGCCAGGGTGAGTGCGGCCGCAACTTTATGTCGATTCCCTTTATGCAACGTAGGCGTCTTCGAGGCAAGAGTGAATAGGTGTTTACTGAGCTAGCGCGCTTACCATCAAAGGCTGCATCGCCACTTACCATCAGGTGGGATGGCAGTCAAGTGCTGGCCAGTTCAAAATCAAAAAAAATATCGACATATATGTAATCTGCCGCTCAACATGGGACTCGTGAGGGGTGCCATGCTAATTGCACCGGCACAGGAACATTTCGACAGACTGGGTGTCGAGAACAGTGCCAAGAAGGCCGTAGCCGAAGGCTAGTGCGATTTTGCAGGCGCAACGTGGGCTATTTAGTGGGTGGTTGGGCCGATTCCGTGAGAAGGGAACGTTAAAATCGATTCGTGCAATTAGATTCGAGCAATGACGACGCACAGGTGGTGGAGTTGGGCGGCAGCGCGCAGCAGCAGGCCTTGGCGCTGGGCGTGGCGGTGCGCGCCGCGCGGGCCGACGCGCGCCTGCACGCCGCGCTCTTCGAGTCCGACGCGCTGGACATGCTGCTGCCCGTGCTGGCCTCGCCGCGCTGCCGCCTCTCGCACCACATGCTCAAGGTGCCCTAATCGCGGATGAACATATTCAGTCGACTGTCTATGGGCATTGCCACTTATTAATAAAGTGGACCCGCTGCACTCGTGCAGGAGATCCTGGACGTGGCGTGCAGCAAGCCGCTGCTGGTGGTGAGCGGCGGCGTGGTGAGGCTGAGCGCGCGCACCGACTGCGCCCTGCTGGAGCCGCGGCTGCTGCTGCTGCTGCTGCGCGCCTGGCCGCACCTGCACAACGTCCAGGTCGGCCCTCGTCGCTATCTGCCGAGGAAATACACTTCCATGGAGCAACGCAGCGAAAATTGAGTTCCGAAGTTGCTTTTTCTTCTTAAAGTTCAGTTTGTCGGGCAGGTGTCGTGGGAGGCGGAGGGCGGCTCCTCCACCGTGGACGGGTCCCTATGGGCGCTGGCGCTGGAGGCCACGTGCGCGCTGCTGCGGGACGGGCCGCGCCGCGCCTTCAACCAGCAGCAGGCGGCGCGCGCCGACCTGCTGCGCCACCTGCTGCTCGCCTGCAAGGTGCGTCTTTTACAGGAGGAGGTGGCTTATAGTAAAGCGGGCCCCAGCCACTACCACTACTCACCAGACGAAACGCAGAAATATAACACTTCATCCTGTGTGCCAAAAAAAGTTTATAAATTTTCTCATTAGCTTGGGTATCTCTCGGCTGGACCCGCGTTTTTGTTCATATCGTTACTTCTAGAAAAAAGTAATACTTAAACCACTTCAATGTCGAATAACGCATGTAATTGGTGCGTGCCGGGGCCAGGAGCGCTTCCTGAACTCCGACTGCGGCCCGCTGAGCGCCTCGGCCAGCGACAGCCTGGTGGAGCTGGTGCGCGCGCTCATGGGCTCGCCGCCGCTGCTCTGCCACTTGGCGCTGCTCTGCGACTTCCTGCTGCTCATGCATCAGGTAGACTTGTCACTTCTTCTCGGTCAGAATCGCGGAGACGGTCGTAAATTAAATCTTACCGAATCGAATTAAACGAACTGTTTCACATCCAGGCGAGCGACACGTTCGTGACTCACTCGCGGGCCAACTTCTACTTCCTCCTCACTTCGGAGTCGCCCGAGGCGAGCGAGTTCAACTTCCTCAACTTCATGAACAAGCGCAAGAACAAGGAGTACAAGCTGAAGAGGGACTTCGAGAGTCTCACCATCAACGAGTCCGTGGAGGACGGCAACCTCGCCGGAGACGGTGAGCTCCTACCGCCGAAGGATCTGACGCCGACGCAGGACAATTTGGACAGCGACAGGACCGACGCGGAGGAGAGCAGCGCCGACTCCACCAAGGAGATGAAGGGCATCATCAACGCGCACCTCAAGGAGGGCAGGTAGTGGATATTTGTTATTTTAGATCGACCGGTGCTCTCGCCCCGAATGGGATAAATAAAAATTAGCGACAAATTCGTTATGGGAAATTCATCCATATACAACACCAAGTATTCACGTTATTTTTTTTTTTTTGCCATACACATTTACAAACTCAATAAAGGAAGATTGAAACATGATATAAAAAACAAACACACATTTTTGCATTTGGGCCGTTCCTTTCTTTTTTTTTAGTAAATAATTCATTAAGCTTCTGATTGAGTTTTGCCATATTTTTCTATTTGTCTTTTTAAATCAACATTTCAGAATATGTATTACTTTCACAATTGGCTTTAAATAAGATGTGATAATCTGAAAAACTTTTTGTATAAAACATGTGTGTTTTTCCGAATAAATATATAAATTAATTAATCCGCTTTCGTTGCCCGTAACAGGAAAGAAAACGGAATCGTTCCCGAAAACAATGGCGTTCCAGTTGGTGAGTTATAAGAAAAGCAAAGAAATTTCGTATATGATTAAAAAAAAGGATAAATGACGAAGAAAGAGGAAATTTTTCGCATTGTGAAGGATCACCGGGCGGCACCGAGGGGGCGGACGCACTCAACGGCTACGTGGTGGTGGACGAGGACGAGCTGCGGCACACCACCGTCGAGTTCTACACCAGCGGCATCTACCATCAGGTTCCCCATCGCCCCACCACTCACCACCGTTTTCGTGAATGTCAGCTATTTAGTATTGATGCTTACCTTGTGTCATTTCATCAGGTGAGGCTATGGATCTAATATGGAGCTGATGATGTCAATCTAAAATCTCGGGATACGCATCAGTAAGGGTTATCTTTCTTTTTCAAGGTACTAAATTATCTCCTGACATGTGCACATTGTGTAGGTTTATCTGTTACAGAAGTGTCTTTCGGATGAAGTGTTCATATTTGTGTGCCATGAAGGATGTGTGTTCACGATTCGGTCTAAGCCAAAGTGATCATGTATCAAAGTTTTTTATTCTTGTAAGTAGAGGTCGCCGATCGAATCCGATACTGTAATGAGATCGGCGGATCGAACCGTTCCATTCGGCATGGTTGCTAAGCGGAGCGCGTGTTTGTTCAGCGGCGGGTGCGCGCCGGCGCCGAGCCCGGCTGGACGGCGTGCGCCGGCCTGCTGCTGCTGCTGCGCGACGCGCTGGCCGCGCTGCCCGACCGGCTGCTGGCGCAGGTCAACAAATACGCCGACGTATCGATTTATATGTGACATCGACATTAAACATTTTGTATCCAAACACATCGTGAAAAACGTTGGTATACGAAATGAACAATATGCGGGGACCGCAGGCGGTGTGCGGCGCTGTGCAGGCAGAGGCGCTGGTGGTGCTGGGCAACCACAAGGCGGCCTCGGTGCGCGCCGCGCTGGTGCAGTGCGTGTGCGCGCTGCAGCGGCGCGCGCCCCACGCCCTGCGCACCGCCACCACCACCACCACCACCACCACCGCCGCCGCCGCCCACCACTACTACCTGCACCTCGCGGACCAGGTCGCTAAGCCTCTACTTCGCCAGGTTCACGAGCGAAATCCCGCTCGAAGGACCAAAAATTAATCTTTCAATAAATTATTATTAATAACGTTTTACCCTTGTGGAAATACGGAAAATATGAAGTAGTAAAAGAAACCGATCTCAAAAATAAAAATACATACAGATGTAAGTGTAATGTATATATTCTATATTATTGTAGATTTCCTTATATCCCGGTTCGTGGGAACTGGCGACGGCGTGCGCCTCTCTGCTCACTAAATGCGACGTTCCGCTTGAAGATCAACTCGACGTAAGTCTAAAATAAACCAAGTTTCAATAAGCTCACGTTGTTTTCCTTTACCACAAATATTTCGTCACTTTTATAAACTAGTCCAACTTTAAATATCAAATATCAAAATAAAATTGAAAGGTAACGGTTTTTCTCTGTTTTAACAACAATATTTTCGAAAAGGAAACGAGACAAAGGAGAAAAGGAATCGTGACCATTATTAATCTGTAACATCTAGGACGACATCTGGATGGATATGGACGAGGACGCGGTTCAGCGAAGCGCTCCACTGCTTGCCCTGCTACCGGTCTGCCTCCATCTGCCGCAGCTCGCCCACACAATCTCTCTGCTACTACGCCGCCTCATCGACAAGGTATCGATGGTCACCACCTTGAGCTGAAGGTTGACCGAACAGTCACAAGAGGGCATTAACACGTCAACGGCATCTCGATCAGGCGCCGTTGAAGGCCATCGTGGAGGTGGCGCTGGTGGAGGTGGTGGTGCGCACCGTCCGCGAAGTGGGCCGCATGGAGGCCGGCTTCGACGGCCGGGACCTGCTGCTCGAGGACCTCTACGAGCTGCTCGGCAAGGTGGCCATCAAGGCGCTCGCCAACAACCATAGCATGCAGGTAAAACGGGCTTACCGATAGCCCTCTAGAAATGTACTCAGTCTAACTGTTATAATAAGCTAAGGGTTAGAATTTCCAATTCTTTCTGTTGCATCGATATCAATCAATCAAAAATCTTTATTCAAATAGACGCTGGCGCGTTCTTATGAATCATCAAATTTTACATAAAACATTATACATAGAGGTTCGTAAGGTACCACCGGGTCGGAAAGCAGTTTCTGTTGAGAAGAGACCGGAAAGAAACTCAACAGTTGCTCTTTTTCAAAGATATCAGTTTACAATATAAAATACCGGTATAATAGTCTTATTCTACCCTACGTGAGTATCAACAGTATTAACTCCACACATTGGCGTCGTCGAGATATTCCGCCATAGTGTAATATGCTTTAACCATAAGATGACTTTTGATTTTACGTTTAAATTGATCAAGCGGCAGACTTAATATCGACTGTGGGATTTTATTATACATGCGCACACCTTGCCCCATGAACGACCTATTTACTTTTTGTAGGCGAAACAATGGCGTAGTAAGTTTGTCCTTATTTCTAGTGTTTAATTTATGTCTGTCACTATTCTTTAGGTAAAAATTAAGGTTATGACGAATATACAAAACATTACAATAAATATATTGAGAAGCAACACTGAGTATATTAATCTCTTTAAAAATATCTCTGAGCGAACTCCGGGCTCCGATATCATAGATTGCTCGGACAGCTCTTTTTTGTAGAATAAATATAGAATTCATATCGGATGCACTACCCCACAACAAAATGCCGTATGACAAGATGCTGTGAAAATAGCTGAAGTAAACAAGTCTGGCAGTGTCAATGTCTGTTAGCTGCCTAACCCTTCTAATCGCAAAAACCGCGGAGCTTAGCCTATTCGCAAGAGATGATACGTGGGGTTTCCACTGGAGCTTTGAATCTACTGTAATTCCCAGAAATACAGCAGACTCAACTGGATTAATGGGTACTTTATTTAATATTAAACTAAAACTTTGCTGCCTTATACTGGGAAGGGTAAAAAGAAACATCTAGTTTTTTTTGGCATTTAATACTATATTATTAATAGTAAACTAGTGGAGGATATGTGAAAGTGCACTATTCACCTCGTCATAATTTAATACATTTCGATCAACCTTAAAAATTAGCGATGTATCGTCAGCAAACAGTACAACATCACACTACTCACTGGCATAAAAGGGGAGATCATTAATATATAAAAATAACAATGGGCCCAAGATTGATCCTTGTGGGACACCGATTTTCATAGGGGTCCCAGCGGAATTAATATCATTTATTGATATATTTTATTGTTAGAATTTATTATTCTATTTCTTATATAAATAGATTTTACCTGAATACAGGGTAGAGGGCACTTTTAAAGCGGACGTTCCTCGAGGCTCCTGCCTCTTTCTCTCGCTCTTTTCGTTTTACACAAGCGGCATTCCTAAAGACTAAAGACAACATTGTATATGCGGTACAGTATAAATCCGGTATTTTGGAAATGTAGATAGACGATAACACTCAAAAGATCACAGCAATTTATTTCATCAGGGCTAAAGCTACAGCTAACTTTAATCCCCCTTTTCTTCAGAGGCGATCTGAATATGTTGAGAAATTTTATGTCTCGTCTACTGAGACACTTACACTTACTCCCGTAAGGATAATCCCGTGAGCGTGATCACATGATTCATTAATTCACCCGGACGCGACGAATCGTCGGCCGCAGACGGCGGCGGAGATACACCTGCAGCTGCGCTACGCGGCCCTTTCGGCGCGCGGGCGCGGCGCGGCCGGCGTGCGGCGCGCGGCGCGCGGGGCCGAGCGCGCGCTCTTCGCCGCGCAGCTGGACCACCTCGAGGCGCGCCTCGCCCAGCACGCCGCGCAGGCGCGCAGCACCAACTACTTCGCCCACGGTGCGTCGAGCGGCGAGTGCGACTTATAGCCGAGAGGGCCCCGCCGACCCACTGACCCCCACCTGCCCTGTCCAGTGCTGGGCGGCGCGGAGGGCGCGCGCGGCCGCGGCGAGGCGTGCGCGCGCTACGCGGCCGTGGTGGCGCGCGCGCTCGCCTTCCTGCTGGCGCGCTCGCCGCGCGGCGCGCTCCACGACGACCTGCCGCTCTTCTGCCGGCTGCTCGACACGCTGCTGCGAGGTAAGCGCCGAACCTTGCCAATTGACTAATAAGCAACGAGTCACATGTTCCAAGATTACAATTCGTCCACGACCGTAGGAGTGCGGCGAGCAGCGCGGCAGGTGGTGGGCGGGCTGGGGCGCCGAGTGCGCGGCGCAGCTGCAGGAGCTGTTCTGGTGGGCCGGCAGCCCGGCGGCGGGCGCGCGCGCGCTGCAGCCCGCCCTGCTGCGCGCCCTCTACCGCGCGGAGCGCACCGCCCTCGCCCACCTGGCGCCCCGGGACCCCACCGCCATGCGCAAGGTGGGGCGTTGCGACAATTCCGAGCATTCCGAGCACCTAGAACCGAGTGCCGGTCCATCGAAAGACTAACGACCGTTCCGCCTCCGCAGCTGGCCGTGTACCTGCTGACGATGCTGCAGCACATCCACGCGGCGGGCGCGGGCGTGGAGCTGGCCATCACGGACTGGGCGCGCGGCTGGGCCGTGGCCACGCAGGCCGAGCTGGCCGAGCGGCCGCCGCGCGACGCGCTGCCGAAGGAGGCCGAGCGCTTCCTCCGCGAGGACGAGGAGCGCTGGCGCAAGGCGGCCGACGGGCCCAGGCAGCGCGCCGCGCTCGGCAAGTTGGTGTCGCTCCGCCAATATTATCTTTTTCACGGATCGATCGCTTTTGTCCTTTAGGAGGCCTTTTCAGAAACACTGGGCTTGAGCGCCGAACTTAAACCTCATTTATGAGTGACTGAGGTGGAGAGACTGAATCGCTTTGGTGACCAATTAGATGCCTTGAGAGTGAATCTTAATTTCACGCTCAATTTTTTGGCTAACATCAATGCATATAATGTTGAATCCTCAAGGGGTCTTCTCATCAATAGAGATTCCTGACTGGTGATACAACTTCGGTAGAGTAAATCTAATACATTTTGTGTTAGTGGAGTTCAAAAGTAAATTATTGGTACTGAAACGATATCTACAATTTCATTTGGTTGTTCCGGTGTAACATCTTGCCTTTTAAGTATAAACAATAGTGAAGTGTCATCCGTAAACAAAACGACTTGAGACCTTTTTTCCAATATAAATGGCAAATCATTGATATAAACTAAAAACAGAAATGGACCCAGGATTGATCCTTGAGGAATGCTCATTTTAACTTTTGACCTCGATGACGATATACCATTTATGATTACTTTTTGTTCTCTGTCAGATAGACGAGTAAGTAAGATACGAGAAAACAAAGTCATTTGCGAATATGTACCATAATATTCCAATTTCCTTATAGGAATTGTATGATCTGCACAGTCCCATGCCTTGGAAAGGTCACAGTGTTCTGTGTGACCTATCCAAGGTTTATTGTTGTATTATTATGTTATGTAAAGTATTATACACTTTAATTTTCGTCTTGAACATCTGTGACATGTGGTTCCAGGCGTTAAGAAATTAGGTCCAAGTTACTACTCAGGAAACGTTACTGTATACCATTTCCTCTCGAGTTGGGTTCCAGAGGATTGGTTTTATCGGAGTCTGGTCCTGCGGTTTCTTTCGTTTCTACGGGCGCTCAGAGACGAGGTGGGTGTGTCCAGGGCGGTGTTCGCGCGCGAGGCGCTAGCGGCGCGCTGCACGGAGAGCGCCATGGCGGCCACGCGCCGCGTCGTGGAGGCGCAGAACGCCGAGCGCAAGGCCTTCCTGGAGCATCTGCGCCGCGCGCACGCCGCAACCGCCGCCGCCGCCGCCCGCTGGCGCCGCCTCGTCGACGAGCACACGCACGAGCGCGGTACGGCCCCTGCCGCCCCTCCGATCCCCTTGCCCCGCCCCGCCCCGCACCGCACTGACCGTCGCGCCCCCGCAGGCGTGTGGCACAGCGCGCGCGGCTGGCCGGCGGCCTGGCAGCTGGACAGCACGGAGGGCCCGGGCCGCGTGCGCGTGCGCCTGCGCCGCGCCCACCTGCGCGTGCCGGCGCGCTGCCTGCAGCCGCACGCGCGCCACAAGGCGGGTACGTGCCTCCGGTGAGCGACGAGTGTGGCCCGTCGAGGGGCAGCGCGCTAATAATCGCGTGTGCAGAGGGCGGGCGGCAGGGCGGGCCGCTGCGGGGCGTGCTGGGCGCGCTGGCCGAGGGCGCGGCGCCCGGCGGGCTGGCGGCGCTGTTGCACCTCTCCGAGACCGTGGCCTTCATGGCGCGCGTGCACCACGTCACCGTGGCCAGCGAGACGCCCGGCGAGCTGCTGCTCAGCGACAGGTCCGTCTGCGTCCGCAACTTCTCGATTCATTTGCCTTCGCCTTGCTTCGAGCCGGTCTTCTGTGAGACGGCCTGCTCATGCGTGCAACCAAACTAAACGTCGACTCTGAAGACCTTTCCAACTCACGCAGTAGTTGTTCGAGCTCGTGCCACTCACTGCCCAGGTGCATCCACTTCGTGCCGGAGGTGGCGGACGAGGACGAGGACGAGGGCGGCGGTGCGGAGGAGGAGCGTGCGGCGCAGAGCTGGGCGCTGAGCGGCGTGGCGCGCGTGAGTGCGCGCCGCTGGTGCCTGCAGGAGCGCGCCTGCGAGCTGTTCCTGCTCTCGGGGCGCGCGCACCTGCTGGCCTTCGCCGGCACGGCCGAGCGCGACGCCTTCCTGCGCGCGCTCGACGCCGCCCACCTGCCCAACAGGTGCGCCGCGCCCGCCCTCACCCGCCCACGCTCGCCCTCGCTCGCCCTCGCTCACTCCGACACACTCGCATCGTCGCAGGACGGAGCAGCCGACCCTCTCGGAGGTGATGAACCAGTGGCGCAACGGCACCATCACCAACTGGGAGTACCTGATGGCTCTCAACGACCTCGCGGGCCGCTCCTACAACGACCTCATGCAGTACCCGGTGCTGCCCTTCATCATTGCAGACTACACTTCCAAGATCCTCGACCTGAACGATCCCGCCTCGTTCCGCGACCTCAGCAAGCCGATGGCCGTGCAGAACAAGAAGAGGGAGCAGCACTACATAAACACTTATAACGTGAGTTACTCAGGATAAAATAAAAATGAATATTTATCTAATTTAAACGAAGAACGTGGAAACGGTAACAGGTAAAGAGAACCGCCGAGTGTTGGTACTCCTTAAATCGAATGGGCCCATTAAGGCTGTCGGTTTGAGGACAGTTAAGAGGCATTACGAAAGGCCATCGCGTCCAGGACCTGAAGGCGGCCCGTCGCGAGGGCTGCAGCCCGCTGCTCTCGCGCCAGCCGCACCACTACGCCTCGCTCTACTCCAACTCGGGCGGCGTGCTGCACTACCTGGTGCGCCTGCCGCCCTTCACCGAGCTCTTCCTCAACTACCAAGGTGGCGCCCCTCTTTCTATTGCTTCTTTATTCCATGTATCGTGCTTTCTATGCATAATGACGTCCTAGCGATTGTCTGTGAACCAACATCAAGTACATCTTAGACCCGTACCAGCCCGCTATATAGGGCATACGGCTCCTCCTTGGTCGGACAAATGTTGGGGCGGCCTTATGATATCGCGGCCTTTCGTTGAGCCAGCGTTTCCAAATAATCAGGCTGGATTTCCACTTTAATCTCACAGATAACAACTTCGACATGCCGGACCGTACGTTCCACTCGCTGGCGACCACATGGCGGCTCATCACCAACGACTCGCCGACGGACGTGAAGGAGCTCATCCCGGAGCTGTTCTACCTGCCGGAGCTGTTCTACAACAACGAGGGTGCGTGCGGTCGCAGTGTCGATTAGAGAGAGAGAGAGAAGATCTATCCGTCTCACGGGGTAGTTGACCAACAGGGCTGGAGCTGGGCGTGCGGCAGTGCGGCGCGCGCGTGGACGACGTGGAGCTGCCGCGCTGGGCGGCCGACGCGCGCCTCTTCACGCTGGCGCACCGGCAGGCGCTGGAGGCGCCGCTGGTCACCGAGCGCCTGCCGCTCTGGATCGACCTGGTCTTCGGCTACAAGCAGACCGGCCAGCCCGCCGTCGACGCCATCAACGTGTTCCCGGCATGCGTGAGTCGCCGATACCGAGAACACATGAATTTGGGTTTTTTTTTGTTTTGTTAAGCTTTAAAAAGATGGGACTCTGTGAGGCCGTGATACTTCCCGAGACGAGCTTGCCCATTCGAGCAATAGCAGAAGCTTTTGTAGGCCGATTGTTTATAAAAGAGTTCGATCAGTAGTTTCTTTGTTATCTTTTAAAGGTTGGCAAAGGTTTTTCAACTGTACGGCTATCGCAGATATGATTCGCTCGTCGCTGCAAATACAGATCAACACAGGATGGTATATTTCTGTCGGGGCGAACGTTTAGCGGATTTGAAATGAAGGAACGTCCGCAGACGTACTACGGGTTCGACCCGAGCGCGCTCGAGGACGAGGTGGACCGCACGGCGGCGGCGGCGATGGTGCGCACGTACGGGCAGGCGCCGCGGCAGCTGCTGCGCGCGCCGCACCCGCACGCCGCGGCCGAGCTGGCGCCCGCGGCCGCGCCGCGCGCGCCGCCCCACGCCCGTGGCGGGCGTGGGCGGCCTGCGCTGGGGCCGCTACGCCGGCTCGCCCGCCATGCCCGCCCCCGCCGTGGCGGCGCGCCGCCTCTGCGCGGGCGCCGCGCGCCTGGCGCCGCTGCCCCGGCCGCACGCGCGCGCCGCCGCCGCGCTGCCGCCGCGCACCGCGCTGCTGCCCACGCCCCACGGTGAGTGAGCCCACACGCGAGTGACTCCACTGAAACCACCACCATGTTCGACCTACGGCGCATATCGGGAGGGTGGCAAGAACTTTGTCGCACACTTCCTTCACCCCGAAATCACTAGTCGCTTCAGCAGCATCTCCTCGGGAAGCCACTCCAATATCCTCCAAGTAAGGCATGCTGAAATATTCAGTGTGTCTTCCTACTACACCTTTTTGCACAGCCAAGGAACTCCCCTGAATTCACTGATCAGAAGCCAAGGGAGCCAGAAGAGCCACTCAGTACGTTTCAGCCGCGGAGTCACTCCTCTCGGCAGTCCTCTATCCTCGCTGCCCCACCACTAAAGACGGTGGGGCCTCACAGTACAGTCCGGTCCAACGTAGGTTCCTTTTGGCAACCTCATCACCAATTGCCAAAAAACGGAACCATTTAAGCATTGCATAATTTAATTCCTTCCTCCCCAACAATGTTCGAACAACTAGGTTCGTTTCGTTCAAATGTCATATACGAATAGACATAAGGAGGAAGTAGAGGGTGTAGAGGGTGTAGAGGGCGCAGTGGTGACGAGGGTGGGTGACGGTTGCAGAGGAGGGGCAGGCGGGGGGCGGCGTGGCGCTGCTGACGTGGGGGCACGCGGACGGCACGCTGCGGCTGCGCAGGCGCCGCGACGCCCCGCCCGAGCCGCTGCTGCACGTGCACGCCATCGACCAGGTGCCGGTCTAAGCCCTTTTTACCCTTGCTAAGCAGCGATGTGTGTTGCTTAACATCTCTAGACCCAAAGATTTTCACAAGTACTTTCTCACGTTACAACGGATTCCCTTTATATCGCCCTAAATGAAATTTTTGCAACAACGCCAATCGGGTAGCAAATGCGCCCATGCATGGCCGTTACAAAGAAAGATGCTTGAAAGGGGGAATGTGGTGGCAGGTGACAACGGTGTGCACGTCGAGCGCGGGCGGCGCGTGGGCGTGGGCCGCGTTCGTGGGGCTGGCGTCGGGGCGCGTGCTGGCGCTGCGCGCGCCCCACGCCCAGGCCCAGGCCCACGCCCACGCGGGCCGCGCCGTGCGCCAGCTGCTGGGCCACCGCGCGCCCGTGGCCGCGCTGTGCGCCTGCTCGCCCGCCGCGCTGCTCGTCTCCGCCGACCGCGACGGCCTGCTGCTGCTCTGGGACCTCAACCGGTCGGCATGCCACTCGTTTCATTCCGCACTTCGCACAGAACATTTGCGGTTGCAACTCTGTTCAAGCATTTTATTCTCAACTGTGCATTTGGTCACGGTCGAATTGCAGTAGCGTCATTATTCTTTGCTATCGTAATTAAAAAATACAAAATTGATGAGCCCGTTAAAATATCGAGCTTAGAATATTAGAGTTAGTTATTGGTTTACTCGTATTTATCGCGAATTGGTAATCTCTATGGTATACACATTGTCGATAACATATCTAGATAAATGAGTTTCATTACGAAATTTGTATATGTATGCCAGCGTACAAAAGTTATAATAATGTTTTAAAAAATGGAATAAAAAATATTATACAACAAATATTGCTGTCGATTCCTCTCTGATAAATAAAATTAGTGATTTAGTGCGGTAGTATTATATTTCAATATCATGCAGTGTTTGTAAGAAGCTTAAATGGATAGATTGTTACGGCCCGCAGGCTGACGTACATCCGCACGCTGCCGAACCGCGAGCGGCTGCCGGTGACGCAGGTGGCGGTGAGCGAGACGCTGGCCGACGTGGCCACCGTGCACGAGCTGGGGGCGAGGCGCGAGGCGGCGCTGGGGCCCGGCGCCGCGCAGGCCGACGCCGCCGACGCCGCCGACGCCGCCGACGCCGCCGGCGACATCGACGCCTACGAGCGCGACGCCGCGCGCAGCCACCGCTCGCTCATCCGCGTGCACACCGTCAACGGACGCTTCGTCGGTGGGTATATCATCGCTATATCGCGCTCCTCGCGCGCGCGGCCCCACTAAGACAGGAGCGTGCCCCTCAGGCAGCGTGAAGGTGTCGGAGACGGTGACGTGCGTGTGCTACTCGAACGCGCCGGAGGGCGCCAGCGTCAACTGCGTGGCGGCGGGGCTGCGCTCGGGCGAGGTGCGGCTGTTCAGCAGCTGGGACCTGCGGCCGCTGCGCGCGCTGGCGCCGCCGGAGGGCGCGCCCGCGCTGCTGGCGCTGGCCTTCGGCGCCGACTCGCAGCTGCTCTTCGCCTGCCACGCCGGCGGCCTGCTGCTGGCCTGGGAGTCGGACCAGCACCCGCGCGCCCCCCCGCCGCGCATCCTCTCCGCGCACGCCCTGCTCTAGCACCACGCCTTATTTCAAACCGGCCCCGATAATATTTTATGACACATATCATTGATATTATTTTCTTTTTAGACCTTTAAGAATTAAAAGAATCGCAAATGTATTTTTCCTAATGAATGTCATAACTATATATCATATACATATCTATGAAACAAATAAATTTATAATAATATAACAAGTTCCTCATATTTCGCCTTCACGAAATGAACTGTGAAAAAATTGGTGCTTCGGTATGTATGTTATGCCGAGAATTGAATATTATTGAAAAAAATACTTAAATCCACTTTTATCTAATGACATATTAATCTTAAAATTGAAACATTCCTTATACTTAATTACCAAAAAAGACTTATTGTTAAGATAATGTTGTTAAGAATTTTTGTTTTAATATAAGACTATACAATAAACTGATATTATTTAAGGTTTTGCAGTGTATGGAATTAAAGACTTACAAAGAACTCAATACAGAAACATATCCTAAGAATATATTTTAGATGTGATGTAATGATGGAGATTTGTTAAAGTTTTTGAAATAAATAAATTTTATACTAAAGTTTTTTTCTTTTACTACGCAGCGTGCTTTGCAATATGACGTAAGTAAACAAAAACAAAGCTTGCAATATTTCTTAGGTTTTTACATAAAGAACAAACAAAAAACTTTTCTTAGGGCCATTGTTAGGACCTTGAACTTCCATACATGAGGGGTTTTTGCCATAGTTGCCACGCTTGGCGAGCGGGTTGGCAACCGCAGTTCTTCCAGACACCTCGCACCTTCAACGCTGCTGCCCGTTATTGGCCTGGATATTTGGGTCTGGAGAGTTAAGATGGTTATCCCGCCATCTATCGGAGGCCACTGGATGTTTGTGGCTTAGCGTATGTGGACTATGAGAAAGCCTTCGATTCTGTCGAAATTTGGGCGGTACTCCAGGCTCTTCAGCGGTGCCAAATTGACTATCGGTATATCGAAGTGCTGAGGTGTTTGTATAACAAGGCTACGATGTCCGTCCAAGTACAGTCCAGTAGTACAAAACCTATCCATCTGCAGAAGGGTGTAAGACAGGGTGATGTCATATCCCCGAAACTCTTCACCGCTGCGTTGGAAGATATTTTCAAGCTTCTGGACTGGAAAGGACGAGGTATTAACATCATTGGCGAATACATCACCCACCTTCGATTTACCGACGATATAGTCATCATGGCAGAATCGCTGGAGGACCTGGGTGCTATGCTCAATGACCTCAACAGTGTCTCCCAACGGGTGGGCCTTAAGATGAACATGGACAAGACGAAGATCATGTCTAATGTCCATGTCACGCCTATACCGGTTGTCGTTGGGAGCACTGAGCTCGAAGTTGTTGACGAGTACGTTTACCTAGGACAGTTAGTCCGGCTAGGTAAGTCCAACTTCGACGCAGAGGTCAATCGGCGAATCCAACTCGGATGGGCAGCGTTCGGGAAACTTCGGCAAATCTTCTCGTCGAATATACCTCAATGTTTGAAGACTAAAGTCTTCAATCAATGTGTGTTGCCAGTGATGACCTACGGAACCGAGACGTGGTCCTTCACTGCTGGCCGTATGAGGAAGCTCAAAGTCGCTCAGCGAGCTATGGAGCGGGCTATGCTCGGTATTTCTCTACGTGATAGAGTTCGTAACGAAGACATCCGCAGTAGAACCAAGGTACCGACATAGCTCAGAGGATTAGCAAGCTGAAGTGGCGATGGGCCGGCCATATAGCTCGTAGAACCGATAACCGTTGGGGAAGAAAGGTTCTCGAGTGGCAGCCTCGTACTGGCCATCGCAGTGTAGGACGACCCCCCACTAGATGGAGTGACGACCTGTGCAAATGTGCGGGAAGTCGATGGATGCAGGTGGCTCAGGATCGTACTTCGTGGCAGTCTGTGGGGGAGGCCTATGTTCAGCAGTGGACTCAAACAGGCTGAAATGATGATGATGATGAGGGCCATTAACCTTTTCGGGAGGAAGTTTTATCACGCAATAATGAATGTTTATGAAAACCAAAAAATAGAAAAACAGACACTTTTTTTAAGGATAAGTGTTCCTTCAATGTATAATAATTGGAAAGTAGAAAAGCGATGGTGTTGCAAGCATCCAGGCAGAAGTAGACTAATTCTGTAGGTAATACGATCTTAATTGACTGCTCACCTACAGAAAGATATTACTCGCATAGTTAATTGATCTTTTTAGAGTATTCAGTCTGTTCTACAGGATGATTTTTAGACGAAGTACATACTTTGACATAATGTTAATTGAGCATTCCATAATTCAAAAAAATATTAATATTTTATTTTGACAAGAAATAACCAAAAAAATATCAATTCAAACATTGTTTGTTTATCCCGGTAAGAGTAGTCACCCTATTGATAATGGTTCAGTAATATTATGCGTTCCGCGAAGAGTTTTAGTGCTCCTCAAAGAGTACATTATTAATAATGTACTCTTTTACGATGTTAATGGTGCTCGTGAATAGGTCATTGTATTGAGACGTTAAGGCAGGAATTTCTAATAGGGGACATCCTATTAAAGATAATGTTTGAAAAAATCAAAAATAATCTTTGAAAAAAAAAAGAGGTCACAAGTACATACCAGATTCAGATTTAGAGCCAAATTCTGCATATGCTCTGTTAATATGTCAGTTGTCTAGAAAATCATCCTATATATATCTATACTGGAAAATAAAAACGTATTAGCAGTCGTAGCGATGTGCTGAGCATCAGTGGCTTTCGCTGGAGTTTGTTTGGTGTAGATGAGGAATTTGTGACATGTGAGTGCAAAATGAAATCACGAAATAGCGATACCCTTAGGTAGCTCTCAGTTACAATCGTACGTTTCAGTAATTCGCTGTATTTTCCTGTGACCACCAGATATGAAGAAAAACGTTCTTAAAAACTACCTTCTTGTACAGCACGTACTTACTAAACGTTAATAATGAGTACGCCTGTTATTGATGTCGTCGTTTGTTAATTTAATTCGGAGTACTTCAAACATTTTATCTTACGTACCTTGAACATGTTTTTGGTTGTTTATAGGAAAGCGAGTAATTTTCGTTCTGTTATATGTATTAATAATAGATTTTACTTGAATAATCGTACCAAAACCCGGATTGTAATTGGCTTACACACTGCATTAAAAACCCTAGTAATGTTTAAGTATGCAAGTTAAATAAGGAAGTAAGCCGATTTTACAGCCATGATATCATTCGCATTACTGCCAATATAACCCCGGAAGTACGCAAAACGCCGAATTACAACGCGACAAAAATTCAGAACTCTGTCTAGTCTACCATCTTTACTGAATTTTCGATATGACATTCCTCGTTAGTATATTTTTTAAAACTGGTAGCACTTTTTGACAACTTTCAAAAATAGGTAAATTGACAATTATTCCTTATATTTGCAAATGGCGTCGTTATATGTCAAAGGTTAATCAGTAAACGTGTTTATCTTGAACTGAATAACACTAACTACTTAATAATTTTATAAACAATTTAATATATATTCCTGTCACTATTTACAACTATAACATATAATGGGGTCTAAAAAACACAAGAAAGAATCAAAAAAGAAGAAGCACCGGAGTCGTTCAAGATCGCCATTGGATGTGGAGGAACGCGAACGAAAACGTCACAAAAAACACAAAGACCGCAAGAAGGATCGATCTCCTGACGGTCAGTTCGTTTTTACACTATTTTGATAAATCTCTACGCTGTATATTGGTAGTAATTTCGATTTCCTCACTTGTATTGTAATTGATAACCTTAATTTACGTAGTGGAAATCTTACGAAAAGTATCAAAGGAACTAAGCGATTACTACCAGTGACAGCGTCCCACTCTGTTGACAAGATAATGGCATATTCTGGTCATCATTTCAGACACGGTGGCATTCGAGACGGTTAACCGCATCCCGAGTGCTGATCTGGTGAGGTGGGTATGTTAGAGTCGTTATTCGTCGACTGCAAATTTTATTAGAAACATTATGTGGGGTAAATTGCTTGCTCTGGACGAATTGAGGATTAGAGAATAATTTGAATTATGTTAATTAAAACTATCTTAAAACTAGTTGTTTCAAATATGTCAAAACTCAATTTAATTTCATTTTGGATGCTTGCCAAGTTAATGAACCAATTAATGGTAAAAATTTCCTTAAGTTTCCGGGTGTTTTCGACCAAACAAAAAGTTTATTCGGTTAAGAAAAATCACTAATGAAATAATCAACAATCAGAATTTGGCGGTCGCTTATAGTTTTCGAGAAAAAAAATATATTTAAAACTTGTTATTTTCACTAAATTAATCCGCCATTTTGTGTTTGACAACATGTATAAATTTACGAATTCACACACTTTTCCAAATTATAACCTTCGCATTATTAAAAAAGAGTCTTTAAAAATACTAAAAGTACTGTTACACTAAAGTTTTCTGGGTGGTCATAAAAAAAAAACCTAACATTATATATATTAGATATTTTTCATGTTGGCGGTACTGTGTATTCAGTTTTTGAAGTCAAATTGGTAAAAATGGTGAACTTTCTTAGTGAAAATAACGTTTTAAATAATTTATTTTCTCGAAAACTATAAGTGACCGCCAAGTTCTGCTTCGTGAGTATTTTATTAATGATTTTTCTGTACCTAATTACATTTTTTTTACGTCGAAAAACACCCGGAAACTTAAAGAAACTAATACCCAATTAATTAATTACAACATTTTAAAATATTGACAATTATACTTTCCTTATCATCACAATGGGTTTATTTTGTTCAACTAATTTTGTCCTATTATATATTTAAAAAAAATGTCATTATCAAGAAAATTGTACTTGAGAATCATTAATTTTGATAATACAGTGTAAACCCCACTTAATTTAATGCGACTTGATTTAATAACTAACGCCATAAAGATTGAAGTTACTCCACCTTTCTTGGTTTACCTTGTGCTCAATACAATGTACATAGCATCACTCCCAGTCTAAATAACAACAACAAACATTATGAAGAAAAAAACAGTACTAAGTTGCTGAAATCAATAAGAATTGCAACTGTCTTATGTTCTTTTGTTTATTTTTTTGCTTTGTTGTTTAGCACATATTTATCCGGACTGCTGGCACATATGTACCAAAGATTAGAAGATATTTGTTCTTGTTGTTTTTTTGTTTGCCTTGCCTTGCTCATGTTAACCTTGACCACTAGACATCATTAGGTTGTTGTGCAGCTCCCATATGTTATCATATTATAAGTTACAAACTGTTAAACTGCGAACAAGAAGATTAAGAGAATATCTTTGAGTATTGATGAAAAAGTTTTAATAAATTTACAATATATTAGTAAATACATAGTATAAAAGCAAAATGATATTTATTTTTCTTATCTCTATTTAACAACAACTTTCAATAATGTCATAACATATGCAGTCCCTGAAAACTATTCTATAGAGGTACATCGTACTTTGTAAATCTATTCCATTTCTAATCATACATCACAGATGTTCTAATATACTGTACAAAAAAGTTAATCAAAGCCAAAAACATTGTAGAGAACCCTAGTCTAGGAACTTGGCCTTCTATTGAGGAGCAAGATTTATGGAGATGATTCTGACTGCACTTGCATTACCATTGTTCTATTACCCCAACACTATTCAAGTTCTATTACCACATAGCTGATGCTGATGTTGTATGTTTTAGTCTTTGCAACATTTTTTTTATAATATATTATATTTCAACTATTTTTAGAGATTTTAAATGAATTTAATTTCCCATTTAATATGTTGTGGTATAAAAGGTTGTGTATGACTTTGTAAAGCACGCAAAAGAAAAAAAATATCTTCCCATTGCTAAATGCCCCTTAATGTTGCAGTAACAAAAATTCTTTTAGATTCTTGCATATTTTATTCATTTTGATCTCTATATTTCACCCTTTTTGTTTTTCCACACTACAATTACCTGTTCCCCTGTGGTAATTTTTATTCAAAGTAGGAGACTTTTCCTGTTTTAACTGGAGTTTTGCTTAAGATCTATGTATAGCATTAATGTGTCAGATAAAGATTGTGATTTTGTTGGCCTATTTTCTTATTCAGGTTCTGTAGAATGGTTTTGTAAATCATTCTGCAGAACCTGAGTTTTTTAATAATATTATTTATTTATTTAAAAAGGTGTTATTTACAGATGGAAGAATTTCACAAGAATATTTATAAAACTTAAAAAATATGCATTTAAAAAAAAAAATTTGCAACGTGTTCCATAGAATTACTATTATACAATCCATAGAAGTGTTATTTTTAAATTGATAATTCTTCAATTTTTTTATATTATATTCTATAACCAGAATTAAAAACAAATTTTGGACTAAAATCATCTTGAATCAACTTTCACTATATTATGAAGTAATATGCTTTATATAAATTTGGTTATAAATTGCATATTTTTATTCAACCTTCTTCATAAATATTAATTCATGAAACAATCAAATAGTGGTTTTACTGTGTTACTTTAAGTGATAATGCTATTATTGTTATAATTATGTAAATAAGAGGGACAATACAATATTTCATATATTTGTTACAGTTGAAGAAGTACCAGTGGACTCCCACCTGCAGAAAGACACCAATGGTGCGGCACATTCGAAGAGCCGCAGTGGGACGCGCAGCCACAGCCCCACCCCTGAACCGAGACATGTCACTAAGTAAGAACATTGCTTTGTCTATAATTATTTACTACTACTTCCAACACTTTTTCAAAAACAATTAGTTTGCTTGACTAGGCATTAAATAGCGTCAGCGCTCTTATATGGTTGAGTATGGTGAGTCCTCAGCCGGCAGTGATATGTAACCATGAACTGGTTACATGTCATCTAACCTTTTAAAAATTAAACACTCACTTTTTTAAATGTTAGGAAGTTTGTTAAAGCGTACCCACAACACTACCTCTACTGTATAGTTATTTAACAAATTTATTTATCCAACATTTACTACTACTACTAAATATATCTAAAATTTCATATTACGTAACAACATAAAATTTTTAACAAGCCAAAAAAATGTATTTACAAATGCAAAACCAACCTATAAGTATTCTGATAGCTACATCCAATAAGAGAGGTCATTATTACACACCCTGAAATAAACCACAACCACCACTGCCAATAAAGTAGCAATTAAATGATTTTCTTGTTTACTGTCCATGGGTTTGTGTACATACATAAAAAATAATGTGGCAGGGCCATGCAGCAAAATCTACTTTTATAGTAATGGGTAGGCTTGTCCATTGGTGTACTATGGCTGCTATATGCACAAAGAAGACTGGCATTAAGTGAAAGTATGATAGTCTTAGTTTCGCCTGTGAGTATGAAAGAGATTATCTTAGCTCATCGTTTCTGTGCCTGGCTTCGATTCCTACATGAGACCATTATTTGAGCGAAGTGACCCATGGATAATTATTCATAGGAGAGTTGACGTCGGGCAGGCGTAAATGCTTTGCCAATACCAATTACAACTTGATTGACATGTATGACCAACCTAAGGTGGGATGAGAACAGGAGAAAGATGATTTTTGGACTCGAGTGACTGGGATCTTACTTTTTATAGGGTTAGCAATGATCATACTCCTTACTGTAAATCATACCTTTCCGGATGGTGGTATATATATCTAATATCAGGGGAATGACCGGTTCGCTTGGAAAATGTTTATAATTGACAGAGAGAAAGCAAAAGAAAAGGAGCAGTCGCCAGTGGCCGGTGGCGGAGCTCAAGAGAGTTTATCGATAGAAGAGACCAACCGTTTACGTGCCAAGCTTGGACTCAAACCTTTGGAAGTCGCTGAAAAGCCAGCTGGTATGCATTTTATTTACTTAGACATGCCTTCTGACATTTTAAATATTGCTTTCATATAAATTTGCCTTTATAAATTTATTGAAGTATATTGTATTCACATATTTTTAAAATAACGACTGACTTACGTCATGTCGTGTCACACATTAGAAAATTGCTTATGTCTATCTGTTCTTGTTACATGATTTAAAAGCCCCCTTTATTTATTTAAACTATAACAGCCACGTCACCACTGTTGCTTCGAAAAAAATAATGTCATAAAGTTATATTGATTTTGTTATATAACAGAAGACGGCAAAATAAAGGATGATTTGGGTGAATTCTACCACAAGCCAGCCACCAACATCGCCCAACAGAAGAAAGCAGACAAGCTACGAGAAAAGCTGGAGGAGCGCCGCGAGAAGAGGAAGCTTGAGCAAAAGTAATTATTTATATAAATATTTGTTTTACTTCAAAAATACTTACGAGATATTAAAGTAAACAGTAATTATGATATTTCAATGTTTTCACTTATAAATAACCTTTTCTAGGTTACAAACCACACTTCTAGCAGATGAGTCAGATGATGAAGATGCAATAGCTTGGGTAAAGAAAAGTAGAGAAATTGAGCAACAGAAGAAAGAAGCTGAAAAGAGGGTAAGTTTGATAGGCTAAATTTATAGCACATGTAACATTTTTTTTTGTCTTATATTTTATATATTTAGCCTAAATGTCACAACTTTAATAATAACATATGACCATAAAATAATAACAGAAAGAAACAATTTGTTATCATGTTTTTATTGTAAATTTTTTTTGGTAATGGTTCATGATCAAAAAAAATTATTGATACCATACATAACACTATGTTTTCTAGAAACTTGTCTCCCAAAAGAGCAAAAAATATGTTTCTCAAAGATGTTTTATGTGTTAGGCTGCAATGTTGGACGAGATGGACGCGGTGTTCGGAGTCTCTGCACTGGTGGAGGAGGAGCAGGCAGCAGAGAGGCAGGCCAGCTATGGCGCCACACATCTAAAGGGCTTGCGAGTTGCCCATGACATAGAGGCGGTATGCCACACGCTTTTTTAGATATTTTACTTTATTTGACCATTTGTCTGTCTGTTCAGTTCATTTTTCCATTGACCCCAAAATAATTTCTTGTTTAAATAGAATTATGCAAAATGTTTACCAATAAAGTATTGTGAGGTTATTTAAATGTTTCAACAAGAATAAATATAAGAATATTAATTTGCATAGCAAACCTGGATAATGGTCCTTTGGTTATATACTCTACTGACGAAACTTAAAAGCTTTCTGTCAAGCTAATTTGTTATATTCCCTTTTATTAATCAAGTATTTGTAACCGCAGCTGGGCGAGGAGCGCGAGGTGGTGCTGACGTTGGCCGACAAGCCGGTGCTGGCGGAGGACCCAGAGGATGTGCTTGTCAACGTCAACATGCTGGACGACGAGCGCTATCGCAAGGTATTTCTAACTAGATATCAACTAGAAAGCATTCAGGAAATCTTGATGTTTTAGACAATGGAGAGTTGTGTGAGGAGGCTCATTGGTATAGTAGGAGGCTCGCATCCAGATGTATTATAAAACTTATTATTTAGCTTGGCGCTATAGCGTGGTAAGCGGGCGTGGCAAATAATAACTACGTAAATAAGTCCACACTATGTATTTAAAGTTCAAACAGAGCACAAGCGAAGTACAGACGTGAGCACAAGAGAAATAGAAAGTTCGAATAGAGGCAAGAAACAAAGGAAAAGCGATAAAAACATAAAAAACAGTAAGCTGCGTATAAGCACTCGCGTAACTATATCGTGAGATTCGTAAGGAAGCTGAGACATGCATTCGCCGTTGCGGACGTGATGGCACTAGCGGCCGCCGGCCGGCGCCGGCGCTTGCTTTCTCGCTATTTTGAGTATGTCCTCTCTTTCCCGCGCCGCGCCCTTTGTTTACCGCGCGCGCGGCGTAGGAAATTTCCATATATGGTCACCTCAGCACAATTAAGGGATATCATTCTACTTTTTGTCACTGTATTAACAGAGTTAAAGTACTCCAATGTTTTTTTTTCTATACAGGAATAAAGTTTTTGTAAAGCTGTTTATACCAATGGGTTTACATCGCACACGGGACAATTATTTGTTTGACTTGCAGATGAGTGTTCTGGCTCTTGTTGTTTGCTCCGAAGGAGTTTTGATAGCAGGCGGGCTGATACACAAATGCTACAGAGAAAAAGAAGAAGTTTGTATCGATAATCTTGATTGTGATATCTTGACTCGCAGAACGTGGAGGAGCGCAAGAAGGCGCGCGCGGGCTACCAGGCGTACGACGAGGAGGCGGAGCTGCAGGCGGCGCTGGGCTTCCAGCGGCCCGTGCTGGCCAAGTACGACGAGGTGCTGGCCGAGGGGGGCGGCGCCCCGCCCGCCCACGCCGCCCAGCGCGGCTTCCACATCGGCGACGACGAGGCCGTCTCGCGCAGGCTGCAGGACCTGCTGGTATTGCACATTTTCAATTACAATTAAATAGAACAGATCTTTGGCACTCGCTTTGAGAATTAACAATTTTACGGTTAACTTCAAAACATTATTGCTATATATGAATATGTTGTTCCTCTCTCTGTGATTTTTAGTTTAATTTTTGAGTTAAGTTTGACCGCGTTGAAGAGACCACGAAAGAAGTATGAATAGGTTAATGGACATATGTGACTCATCTTCGTCGTATTACAACACTGTAAAAAGGCGTTGGCTGTAAATGCATATAAATATTATATTAATGCAATGGTTATAACAGAGGCAGGAGCAGATGCTGCAGGGCGGGCCTGAGAGGCGGCTGGAGTCGTTGCAGACGGCGCTGCGCCCCGCCACCGACTACCTGGACGAGCACGAGATACAGGCCAAGTTCAAGAAGCCTAAGAGGAAGGTCAGTTGTAGGGATGTCTTTGATTCTAAAGCGTGTCGTTACAACCGCGACGATAAATGAACACACATATAGAGGATAACTTTTTAAAATTGTATTAAACATTTACATTCTATAAACATCAATATTCACCGAGTTATTAAATTTTCTAAAACAAAGAATTTTAGAACACCCTTACGTATAAAACTGTAACGTAAAGTTCATTTGTAAAGGTCACAAAGCATATGAATGTTAAAACATACTGTTAGAAGGAGAGACTTGTAACGCGACGCTGTGGCAACGGTTGAAAAAATCCCTGAATGTATGAATCAGTGTTACAAATTTTGTTTCTTTTTTAATTTAATTAATTTGTATGAAAATTATTTTTTTTTAATTATAGATTTTTTTAATTTTGTATTTTTTTATGATTATTGGTATGCAGCGTTAGACGTGTGTTCATTTTTTGTCGCGGTAACGACACGCTGTATATATCGATATTTTCAACTGATATACATTTCAAGATCGATATATTTGTATTTTCTCTTCAATATATCGAGGCCAATATTTTTTATAAATAACGATATATCTCTACACTTTCGACATCCCTCGTCAGTTGCCTCTTACATCTGTTTTTTTTTTAATTTTAGATATTATAAATATACAGTGGTGATCATACTTTTAGGTTAGTGGTGAATGCTCTTGTGCTCGAATCCGGAAAATTTGGATTCATTGCCGCAACGGCGAAAAACTAGGCTATTTTGACTGTAAAATTTTAATTGTGTCCTACAGGGTAAAATTCGCAAGAAAGCGAAGGAAGAGCCAATTGACGTAGATGATTATGAAGCGGGCACTGTACCCCTTGACACTGATGATACAGGTTGGTTGTTAATATGTTTTTATTTTGTATTATATGCAATACTTTATTTCTTTTAAATGATAATAAATAGGGGTTATATTAAATATAATAAACTAATATAGAGAGACATTGTCTTCTTTCTCATGAAGTTTAGTTGAAGTTTCCTATTCAAGTGTACAATTGAATTAAGAATTCATTTTCATAATTAGTAAAATATAAAAGATAAACTGTTGTAAGACATAAGTAAATATAAATATGTGTATGAAAACGACTATGTGATTTATGCTGTTTCATCCTTAGTGAAATATTAATAATATACTACGATCAGATGTGAAACCGGACGAGCTGAAGATGGAGATAGCGATGGACGACGAGGAGGTGGAGCCGGACAGCGAGCTGCAGGCGGCGCTGGCGCGGGCACGCCGCCTGCGCCAGGCGGAGGAGCGCCACCTCAGGGTGCCGAAGGTGGAGGAGCTGCTGGAGCGCGTCAAGGAGGAGCAGCACGAGGAGATGGACGCGGGCGCCATGGTGCTCGACGCCACGGCCGAGTTCTGCCGCACGCTCGGCGACATCCCCACCTACGGGCTGGCCGGCAACCGCGACCACCACGCGGAGATCATGGTCGGTGTTCCAATAATTATAATTAATATGCTGATGTGGTAGGGCCAAGCAGCAGCCTCGGCTGTTGCACAAATGGGCAGGCTCGTTCGGGTAAGTACAACACAACCTCACAGAAGACCTGCATCAAGTGGAAGTATATTACTTTCGCTTTTCGTCTGGTGAGTGAGGTAGATGGAACTCAAGTTTCAAAAGGTTGTCAACGAATCTGCAACCCTCAGGTATCAGATGTCCATGGGTGGCGGTATTCACTTAACATTAGGTGAACCGCCTGCTAGTTTGGCAACATTTTACATTAAAAATAAAACATAATATTAGTGATTATTGATAACACTTGTAATAATTGATCCAGGCTCTTTCAAATGGACTTGATTACACTTTAAACATGTTTCTTGTCATTTAATGGTAAAAAAAAATTATCTCGCAAAGTTTTTTTGTCGGGTTTTTTTTTAAGGCCAGTGGCTTTTATTTTTTGAATCGGTTTCACTATCAATAAGTGAGTATAACATTTTTTATTGAATAAAGATAGAGCTTTAAAATATGTAGAAAAAGTGCGAAAAGATTGTCGCCGCTGTGGGAATCGAACCCACGTCTTCGGCATTCGCGGCCTGACGCTCTAGCCACTGAGCTAAACGGCTGATTACCACACCGACGAAAATCTTAACGCATTCTTCCACATTGTTTTCTTAGCATTTGAAGCAATGTTTGGCGTCATCTATTGTTATATCCTTTACGGCATACAAACAACTTCGAATATCGTTTTCTACATATTTTAATGTTCAATCTTAAGTGCAAAGATTAGCACTATAAACAATTTAAATTTCAAAGATAGAGCTTGTTAACGTTGCGCAGGAGCTGGAGCGCGAGGAGATGGAGGTGGAGCGGGCGGAGGAGGCGGCGGGCGCCTGGAGCCGCGTCGACGTGCACAACGACCGGCCGCCGGACCTCGCCGCCGGTGAGCTGGCTTTTCGATTACATGGAACATTAACGAGTGCAGACATTGGTCAAGTGCAGAGCTGGCCCGGCAGGGTCGTCGGTGGCGCTGGACGCGGAGCCGGCGCTGGGCGGCGGCGTGGCGGGCGCGCTGCAGCTGGCGCTGAGCAAGGGCTACCTGGAGCGGGCGGGCGGCGCGCCGGCGCCGCGGCCGCCGCCGCACCAGCTGGCGGCGCGCCACTACTCCATCGAGGACAAGAGCCACGGCGAGGAGGAGGGGCGCGAGGGGCGCGAGGGGCGGCACGCGCGGCGCGAGCGCGCCCACGCCGGCCCGCTGCTGGAGTTCCGCGAGCGCGCCGGCTTCCGGCCGCACGTGAAGCTCGACTACGTGGACGACGAGGGCCGCCCGCTCTGCCCCAAGGAGGCCTTCCGCTACCTCTCGCACAAGTTCCACGGCAAGGGGCCCGGCAAGAACAAGCAGGAGAAGCGCATCAAGAAGGCCGTGCAGGAGGGGGTAACGCCAAACGCCAATTAACAATTCAAAAATAGCCTATGTCCTTTCTCAGGCTCTAGACTATCTGTGTACTAAATTTCATTTAAATCTGTTCAGTAGTTTTGGCATGAAAGCGAGACAGACAGACAGACAGAGTTACTTTCGCATTTATAATATTAGTATGGATTGTACGTTACAAAGTGCAAATGTATATAGCTAAAACTATCCAACAGTGTTTAAAAATATATTATTATTTGATAGCTGATGAAGAAGATGAGCTCCACGGACACTCCGCTGGGCACCCTCCAAATGCTGCAGGAGAAACAACGAGAGACGCATTCGCCCTACGTCGTTCTAAGCGGCGCCAAGCGGGAGCATAAGTAGACGACATCTGCCCATCATACCAATGCAAAAAATAAACAAAAATGATAAATACATTCATCAATTATCCTTATACAACAATTTTACTGACCTCAGTGTTACCGCCGCAGTTGTAATTTTTAAGAGATCAATGTTTTTCCGTAATCAACTTGGTATTATAAATAGTACAACATAAATTATACCCTGAATATAATTTACAACCCTAACACCTAATTAGTTAACACCTAATCATATAAAGTGTAAACATTTTTATTATACCCGTTTAATCTCAACTACATGAAATGAGAAATACAGTGGAATGCAACTCGAAATTGTTGACTATTATTTATATTCGTTATGATGGACCAAATCAAAATAATTTTGAATTCTTCTGATAATTTGCATTTTTTTATCAGAGTATTCTCTCCGCATATGTCTTTAATTTCGTTATGGCTTGCACTACTCTCCGCAAAACGATCTCATCTCTGTCTCTAACTAAATTGTAACTTTTCGACTTAACAGTCTTATTACTAGAACAGGATGTAGTCAAGGTCGGTCTATAACCAATAGTATCCGTCTATCTATATCATCAGATTATATATTTTATAACAAAATTACGATAACTGAATAAACAGATTTAGAACAACTTACGTGTTTAATTTACTGAACCTTAATACATTATTATTGGCCAAGTTGGAGAATTCAATAAGCGGATAGCTACTATTAAATTCGTTAAAATTATTGTAGTTCACAAATCTCAAAAAATTGCGAGTTAAATTTTATTGACCTCATGAGAGCAGACGATATGGCTGGGATTAAAAAACAGCTTTACCAAAAAAGTTGAGCATATTTTAAATAAGAACATGAGTTATTTCATAATAAGGGTCTCATTTGGCATAATTGAAATTGGGTAATTAGGCAGTTGTTAATTTTCTTTTGGCAAAAACTCGCACTCCTTTAAAAAGTTCGTTACAGGAACAAACGAAAACAGTTGGTGTGTTTATTGTAATTGGTACAATAGTTTAGAGTTTTAGTTAGTGCTAATCTCTGCACTTAAGATTATAGTTTTAATATTACAGGTATAATAGTTTTTAGGTTTTTAAAATTAAATGTAGATGAAAAAAGCTAGCAGATCAGATATTACGATCTGAAAACGTATAGGGCTCGAAAATCCAGTATATTGAGTAGTGAGTACATAATTAAATACATTAATTTAACATAAATTACATAATAAAAACATTACTACAAGTGAAATTAAGATCAGGTGTAGACCAATCACTGCTAGGAGACTAAATTCTTTTAAAGATAAAGTAGCACAGCATGTATTCCATAAAGATATCGGAGTCAATAACCCTAATGATTGTTATAGATCAATGGTTGATTTTCTCATAACTTCCTATAATCATATTTTTAAACCCCGCACAATTGTTAAAAAATCAAAATTAAAATTTAGTGACTGGGCAACAGTGGGTATATATAAAAGTAGGGATTCACTGTATGAATTATATAATATGAGGCAGTGGAATCACGACCCTAATTTCCATAAACGGGTACAAAATTTTTCAAAAATATTTAAAAAAGTCTGTATACATGCAAAATCTATCTACATAAGAAATAGGATTTTAAATTCTAGTAATAAAATAAAAGCTACATGGGACATCATTACCTGTATATCTGAAAGACCCAAGAAATTCAGGGAACCTATAAAGCTAGTGATAGGCAATACACCCATAACTTCAGATAACGAAATTGCAAGTAGTTTTGAAAGTTATTTTTCAGAAATTGCAATTAATGTTACATGCACGTTAAAATCCTCTCCCATTGATGCAATTAATGTATTAAAAAATAATGTTACCTATTGTCGACAAACGTTTAAATTTAATCACATAGATACTAATGATATTATAAAAGTTTTGAATTCTATTAATCTTAAAAATACAGGAGATTTGTGGGGCATGTCCATAAAATTAATGAGTACAATAATGCCGTATATTGCACCATATTTGGCAAATATTTTTAACAAATGTATAGATTCTGGAATATTTCCAGATCTTATGAAATTCAGTAAGATAATCCCCGTTTTCAAAAGTGGGGATAAAAATGATCCAGGAAATTACAGACCTATCTCCATATTGCCATCTCTGAGTAAAATTTTTGAAAAACTAATTTTAAATCAACTCTTAGTACATTTTAATATGAACAAAATTTTCCACAATGAGCAATATGGATTCACTAAAGGCAGATCGACAACGGATGCGGGTGTCGCACTTGTCAAGCATATTTATAACGCCTGGGAAAGGTCACAAGATGCAATAGGTGTCTTTTGCGACCTTTCAAAGGCTTTCGACTGTGTAGACCACGAAACCCTCCTTCAAAAGTTAGATTATTATGGCATTCGTGACATCGCCCTCAATCTCATTGCCTCTTACCTTAATAATAGAATTCAAAAAGTATCTATAAATGATGTAAATTCCACAGGGTCCCCCATGAAAATGGGTGTCCCACAAGGATCAATCTTGGGTCCATTATTATTCTTAGTGTATATAAATGATCTCCCCTTTTATGCCAGTGAGTTATGTGATATTGTACTGTTTGCTGACGACACATCGCTCATTTTTAAGGTTGACCGAAACGTGTCGGATTATGACGACGTGAATAGTGCACTTTCGCGTATCCTCCACTGGTTTACTTTACTCAATATATCATTTTTAAGGCAGACAGCGTTTCGCGACAGTAGTTTCGATTAGACAAAAACTATTTTGTTTATAGACATTAAAAAGCGGATTGCGAGTCGGATTCGCACACGAAGGGTTCCGTACCATTATCTGTAAAATGGGCAAAAAATCATGTTTGTTGTATGAGAAGACCCACTTAATTTTTAGTATTTGCTGTTATAGCGGCAACAGAAAAACATGAAAATTTCAACTAACTATTACGGTTCACAAGATAAAGCCTGGTGACAAACGGACAGACAGACATCGGAGTCTCGTTTTATCCGTATGTAATCCTAAAAATTAAAAGACAAGTAATGCGGGCACAGAATATAAAAAAATCTGCAATACTCAATATATAATCATTCAAAACCTAGTGTTCAATAGGTTGACAATTGTTGACAATGACAAGCGTTATTTGATACTGTTTTGGTTGAATTTCAATTACAACGTTGACTGGAATTGTGTTGGCAAATTAAAAAAATGGAAGTGGAGGATTGCAGCGCGTATCGACCGACGCCGCTGGATTTTGCGTCGTTCGTGCACTACGCCTACTCCCAGTTGGAGGCACCTTTCGCTGTCAAAATAATAGAACACACCGAGGGTCGGTATGACTTTTTAATAAAGAGCACCTATTGAGTTTCTTTCCGATTTTTTCTCAACAGAAAGAATAAAGATAATTTGAATTTGATTGTATAAATTCTTAGGTAACGTCCTTTCCTCCAAACAGTTGAGCCGAAGGTTCGCAAATCGAGACAGTCGGCGCACTTCTCGCCTCGATCGACAGCCACCGTGGTAGACCTCTCCTCCGTGGTCTCCTCGTCGCCGCCGTACGAGCCACACGATATAACTATAATCGTCGTGCGGGACGTGTCGAGCCGTATAACCAAACTGGTTTTCTGGAAGTGCAAGCAGATCCCGCCCTTGCTTCTAAGGGTTGTCGGTATCTGTGTTCCCTATCATCTATATTTGACGAAACTCGAAGTCTTATAGAAGTATTATAAATATTTAAACATCGTATTGTAGAAAATAAAAATGCTGTGTAATCATTTTGAACGGCAAAGATTTATTTCTCTGATAAAATGTAAAACTAATATTATAATAAACTGTCTTCATTTAGGAACTACTTTAAAAGTGATATAAATGTAATATGATTATAACAACATATATAATGATATAAACTAGAGTTTGGGAGGTACCATGACTGATCAGAATTCGTTTTATAATGCTTTGTTATTTGATTTACTACAGTAAGGCTCAATTATCCGTTTATTCTTTCCGCCCGTATCGAACATGGTGTCAAGACCAAAAGTGAAGAGTACCTATATAAACGGCTGTACCACTTAAGTGGGATAGTAGTTAAGGACATATTACATTATCATATATTTTTGATCCAATACAATTGGCTGTGTAATGGGAAGCTAGTAACCTTTAATATATATAGTAGAAGTAAGGATGCGAGAGTGTCAGTGCGTGGGCCGGTGCGAGTCTGCGCGCGACGGGGGCGCGTCGAAGCGGGTGCGCCGGGGGGCGGCGCGGCGCAGCCTGGTGGCGCGCACCAGGTCGGGCGTGGGCGGGCGGCGCACCGGCTGCGCGCCGCTCAGCCGCAGGTGCGCGTACAGCGGGATGGTGGGCAGCGAGGCGTCGAGGCGCGGCGGCCGCTGCGGCTCGGGCCGCGGCGGCAGCGCCGTGCTGCGGCCCAGCGCGGGCGGCCGCGGCGCCGCGCCCCACGTGCGCGTGCGCAGCTCCTCCGCCGTCACGTCCGACACGTCGGCCGCCACGCGCCCCGGCACGTAGCGCGACACGTAGCCGCCGCGCCACACCTATTGTACGTGGCGCATCGCTCATTTCGACAGCACCGACACACTTTTGGAATGAATTCACCCCTTTGGCACTTACTTGTTTTAATGTGACACCATTTGCTACCTTCTGCTACGAGCTTGCGGGTCACCTGATGACCCATGGACATTTGTAGGGTTGCAGATGCGTTGCCCCATTTTAATAAAGTGCGCTCCGATTACCTCACTCACCAGACGAAACGCGGAACTATGACGCTTCCACTTCAGGCCGGTATTCTGTGAGATCGTGGTCCTTACTCGGATGGCCATTCGTGCGACAGCCGAAGCTATTGCGTGGCTCTGTCACTTTATTTTAACGTCTGTCGAAGATAAGAGGCATCGGGCATATGGCGACGGGTGTTACCTTGAAAGTGGTGAAACTGGCGACCTTCTGCACGTCGGGCGGGAAGCGCGTGGTCTCCAGCGACCAGGGCACAAAGCTGCCCAGCGTGTTTAGGTATTCTCCCGTCAGCCGCCACATGCGCACGCTGTAGTCCGAGCTGCCACTACCGCAGCCAATTTACCGTTCAGCTTTAATTTATCACGTGGGAAGGCAGCAAAGTCATCTTCAAAACTCGTGGGATTTCAGCTTCATTGCCACCTTAAAAGAGTAGAACTCACTACCTCGCTCAATAGATGAAACTCAAAATGACAATATTTCCATTTTACGCAGGTCTTCTGTGAAGCCATGGTATTTCCTCCACTTGTGGATTAACAGTGTGTGGTCGTAGTACTTACCCGGACGGACCTGCCCATTCGTGCAACAGTGAAAACTGTTGCGTGCTGTGTCCTACCACAGCTAAAGAATCACCAAAAGAGGTCTGTCTCTTATACTCTGTCTTTCGGAGAAGAAAAAAAGACAGAATTTGTAGAAAAGTTTGCAAATGAAAGTGTGGCGAGTGTATGGAGAGTAATGGAGTAACAATTGAATCAATTCCGAAATTCGGACAATAAAGAATAGACTAGCACTGAGCTTAAGTGCGGGTCTGGCTTGAGCGGTGAGCTAGCTAGTGGTTAGTCGGGTGCGCACTAACGTGAGTAGCAGTTTGTGCTGGTCGATGTAGGCGAGGGCAGTAACACAGCGAAGGTGGGCGCGGTAGCTGTTCAGCAGGAGAGGCAAGGGCTGGTCCCTCACGCACCGCTTGGCTCGCCCCTCCACGCGGTCGCGCAACAGGAACGGAAACTCCAGGCGCAGTCGAGGCATGCTTACGCTCACCTGCCCACAAAGACAGCTGACTTGCTGCACGTTACTTTTTAGAATAATAAAATTTAAGGAATGGTTGTAAAGAGAGATATACGTATGTACTAGCTGTTTCATAAGGTTTCGTCCGCGGGATACGTTTCTGCTTCGCACCCGTTGGCTGTAGCGTGATGTTAAATACCCTTTAACCTTCATCAAGAATTGGGCTATCAAAAGCAAAAAGACTTTATTCAAATCCGACCTATTCAGAGATTACTGCGTTCAACCACAGAAACAAACAAACTCTTCAGCTTCATTATACTTGTACAGATAAAATTTTCAAGACGACCATTAGTAGACGTTATAATTATACCTATCTTGCACAACGTGAAAGGCTTTTTCTGCAGTTTCTTATTATTTTTATTTGATCGATGGAATCCTTAGAATAGAATCCTTAGGATAGAATGTTATTAATATTAAACTTAAGATCGTAATGCTTTACTAAGTACGTTTTTGCACGACGAACTTGCTATCGTAATGTCAAATTCGGACGTTATTTCTATTTTCATTAGCTCGCACAGTAACCGTACTTCAATCACAACTATCCTCAAAAGAAATGTTCCCCTACCTATTGGAATAAATTAATTGTTTCCCTGTTGTAGGGATTTTTATACATATATACAAAAATTTTACATGGAAATTCGCCCAGAATCTACTGTATAGAAATCGATCGCATGGTCCGCAACTCCTAAACCAATTAAAAAGCTGCGCCAAGGGAGCCATGAACACTAATAGCGGCTCTAATTAGTACTGTATTCTACTAACACTCACCTTTTCACCCGTTAAGTAGTTAGTCATGAGCCACACTTTCACGTAGCCCACAGTGGTCCCGGTAAAAAGATAGTCGTTCTTGAGGTCCGTGGCGAAGGCGGACACGTAGTCGCCGGCCGTGTGGATGCACTGGAACGAGCCCTTGTACCCGCCCGCCGGGTGGTCCGACCAGCACTGTACCTGACCATTCTCCAGCGACAGCATCAGGGAAGCTAAGACCATATAAATTTTCATATTGGCACGGATAAATCTCAGCGATCTACAACCAAATTAAGATCAACACAACATGATCAATGTATTAACTGATATTATTAAGTGAAATTTATTTATTCGACAAAACACACGAATCGATTACAAATGTACCAATATACATAGACAAACTTATTATGTTTTTACTTAAAATAGTTGTTATTTAGTTATTCAATACTTATATATGAAAGAATTTCAAAATTTCTATCGAACATACAACATACAGACAGATGATAAGACGATTTTAAAAACTAAAATAAGGTGCTCCTATGTCTGCTTACCGACGTGCATACTGAGAGGGCGCGTTTCTAGAAAGATCATGGCGTGCACGGCGAGCTGGCGCAGGCCCTGGGCGTGGGCGGGCAGCGCCACCGTGGACACGCGCCGCGCCCGCCCGGACCGGAGCCCGCCCACGCTGCACATAATAATAATAATAATTCTTTATTTTCTCACCACAGTATGTATCACAATAGCATTTCAAAAGGTGGATGTACAAATTAATTTTCATATTGTGGGAGACTGATGCACCAAAACTATGCTCAAGGCTTGTATTATTGGGTCATCAGGTCCCCTCTCCTTATAAATTTGACAATGTGTTTGCAATTTAAAGACGTATCTTTCAAAGACATTTACAATTTCCATTCTAAAATGAGAGTTAATGAGAACATAAAGATTACTGTTAATGAGTGAACATGCATATAAATTAAAATTAAATCTAACTCTTAAACCACTATCATACGTGCTGGTGTTCGTGTGTGCGTGTGTGTGGGTGTGCGTGTGCGTGTGCGTGTGCGTACCTACGTACCTATTGCTTTATTTGCCTAGAAGGAAAAATATTATATTAGAAACGATAGGAGTTTTTCTGTGTCATTGTAATTTAGACCCTGTAACCATTCAGTCACTTTCTTTTTACATACATATTTTGTTTTTGTATAAATGGAAACATTTTTGTTGACTTTGTTGTATAAATAACTACCCAGAAAACAGAAGAAGCGACAGGAAAATTTTTTAGTTATTTTATTTGTGTATGTATATGTTTATATTACATGGTACCGACAACACCTTCGTTGCCCAACTTTACTACTGCCGCGGCCTCAAAGACGGAAGAAGCCTTTACACAACATTCCCTAGTCCCAAACTCAGCATCGCTTGTACATACTTTTCTTTGGTAAATAAATACTTATCATACATATAATAAACACTATGAACCCACACCCTCTGGCACAAGACAGTTTAACTACGCACAATGCCAATCGGGTCGTAATACATGTTACTGACTTTTGTCCCATGTATGCGGTCGTCTTGAAGTCGTCAAACCACTGAACTCAACTCCAAAACCACTTGTTTTGTGGGTGTCCATTGCCGAGGGTTAAGAGTAACTGTTCATCAGGTAGGTAAACGATTGTATAAAATTGCCCACCTGGGCCGGAATACGGCGGAGGCGCGAGGCGCGGGCGGCGGCGATGCGGCCAGCTGTGGCGACGCGGTACGCTTGCTGTACTGCATCTTGATGCGAAGCGTCGGCTCAGTGCACGAGAACCTCCTGTGAATCGCGCGCCAATAGCGATCAACTAGATGCTAATTAGAAAATAAAACTAATAGCTTAGCCTGGCAGAAGCCACAATAGTTTCCTCCTAATAAATGAAGACGATAGCCATAAACGAATGAGTAATGTAAATAATTTACGCAACCCTTATTTAAAACAGCTGTTTCAGGACAAGATTTATGAAAATGGCTTTTGATCTTCACTGGCAAATCCTATAGGAATTACTGCTTTTGTACGAACTTAAATACAAAAAATAATTACAAAAACAGGTAATTTTTGGGAGCCCCATAACCTGAAATAGGTAAGAACTGTGTTACATTGCCTTCCCATGATAGCAGAAAAAGTATAAAAATAGTTTAAACGCATGCGGCCGTTGACGTTGTCTATTGCGAGAAGGAGAGGGCGCACCTGTAGGGCTGGCCCGTCTCCAGCTTCCAGAGCAGCAGCTCCGAGGCGTAGGAGGCGGTGGCGATGGTGAGGGGCGCGCGCACGGCCGCCGCCAGCACGTCGTCCCGGTGCCTCGTCTCCCAGCTCTTGCCGCGCGACGACAGGCCCGTGTCCTCGAACTCGGTCACGTGCCGGTTCCAGCCCACCGCCAGGATCCTGCGCGCGGCTAACACGTTTCTTTCTTACTGCTTTAGGTATGGACGAAACAGATCAAACGGCATATTTATCATTTACGTACCTGCCTTCGACCCAAAAGCAGCTGGTCACCTCGCACATATGCTCAATCTCCATGGTCCGCAGGCACACGCCGGTGTTGAAGTTCCACGTCTATGGCCGTTCATATATATTTAGACCCATTTAGCGCGATGGCATATGCTAACAGTATACAATAAAGGCGCTAGGTGCAAACCTTTAGAGAGCCGTCTCTGGCACCGGTGAGCAGCAGTTGGTGTGCGGGATCGAAACAGGCAGCCGTGATCTCCACCGGCACCAATTCGCCGTGCAAGAGACGCGAGTGCGCCCAGCGGATTATCACGTTTCGCTTGCCTGATGAGAAACACATACTTGCATGTTATATTTTTTATTGACATCAACGTGGCGCATATCATCCAGCAATATCTGTGAGTAGGCAAAGCTTATGGCTTCTCAGTTTAGACGATTCTGACACATACCTTATGAGTCATCAAATAAGTTTATGCATACACGATACTTTTTTGTTATGTATTAATTCATCATTACAAATAAGACTAACTTAAAATAGGGATCACAATAGTAAACGCCTTTTAAACTTCTCTTCGGTCCACGTCTACCCAAGACGTGGGTATTAATTGTCCGCAACTTCTCGCACGGCAATTGTTTGTACATTTTGACACTGACAATCAAGCAAAACGCTAGCTCATTTACCACCACCTATTTAAAAAAGCTAGCTGGTCAGCTTTATAACGTGCAATATTACAAGTTAATTGGTGTGGGGAGGGGAGCTTAAACTTTGACGAAGACACCTTACGTCCATTGTTAATAAATATAAACCAAACCCGTTAGTGGATCCCAGTTGATAATAATGCTGTCCATGCCGCAAGTGATGACCACTTTGAACAAGGGGTTATAGAGGAGCTTGGAGACGGCGCGTGAGTGGGTGAAGCCGTCAGTGTGCAGGGGGTTCAGCTGCTCGTCCAGGACCAAGGTGGCTATCTTTATGGCCCCCAGGATCAGTTCTCGCGTCGCCGGGTTGTAGACCACCGAGATCGGGGTTCGTTCGCCCACTTGTGGCGGAATGTCGATGTAGGTCTGCGGGTATAAATAGTTTATTATTCTGCGTACACCAGGCACACCAGCGCTATTTGTTGAACGTCCATCACCGCTACCAGCTACAATAAGACAAAACAGGCTGTAAAGACACCTAGGTAAATTTTAAAATATGCATATACAAATAATAATAGGCAAGCTAAGATGTACCCAAACTAAAATATTGATTATTTGTATTGTAGTAAAACACGATGAATATAATTGTTGTGCTTGAAAAGAGGTGTTTTTAAAAATAAGTATCGGAACATGTGATAAAGGCTCCTGCCAAAGGTCCAGTGAAAATTTACAGCCTAGGAAAATTTAGGAAACAGGCGGTGGCCCTTTAGAAATGGATGAATTGAGCGCGGCGGTCGGTACCTGCAAGCACGTCTGCGCCTGGAGGTCCCAGACCTTGAGGACGCGGTCCCTGGCGAACGAGTAGGCGCGCCGGGCGGCGTCCTGCAGCACGAGGGCCACGACGCCGGCGCGGTGGCCCTGCAGCACCGCGCTGGCGGACCTCGCCACGAACGCGTTCCACACGCGCACCGCGCAGTCCGGCCCGCCCGTCACCAGCACGTGCGCCTCCTCGTCAAAAGCGAAGCACTGCACGCCCTGCACCGACCAACATTTTGATGTGATGATTGTCCCCATCGAATCGTTCGGATTCTATTTGCTCGGATAAAGATTTTTTTTTGACAGAATGTGAAAAACGAGCGGTCTTAATGGGCAAGTTGTAACGCCGCATATGAACATCCACAGCAAACCGAGAAATAGCAAACCTTTTAATAACACTGAACATGTTATTAAAAGGTTTGATCGCAGTTACTTCATTCACCAGATTAAATTAAAAACTGTAAGTAGTTCCATAATACACCATTCTTCTATAAGACCATTGTTTTTCCCCAGAGAGGGCTTCATGCAATAACAGAAGTCGAAAAATGTGAATCATCTTTTCCCTTAATAACACGTTCAGTGTTGAAATTTTATTAAAGACTTAAATTCTTCGCAGAAATTTTCTTTCAAGTTAGCGACGAGACCTAAGACAATTATAAAATATAAGATATACAAAATATAAGTGCAAAAATGTGCAGGGAAAAATTAATAATACGTTGATAGGACCTTCTCCGTGTGGAAGGTATTGTGCGTCCTGGATGCGGCGAGGTCGCACATCAGGAGGGAGTCTGGGCAGGTGGCGCAGGAGACCACGCAGTGCAGCGACGCGTAATAGGCCACCTGGCGCACCCAGTCCGTGTGTGCCCGAGGAAACTCCACCAGCTGCAGCTCGGGGAGAAGATGCGGCTGCGAACAGCAAAAGAAAGCTCTCACGAGAGCTGACCATAACGGAGTAGAAATAATAAATAGAAACGCTAGAACTGCTCACTTCTCACGAAGCCTATTTAGAGTCCCAAATGCAATTAGTGCTGAGTAGTCCGACAAATGCGACAAAGATACCCTAACGTATCCAAAAAAAAAAACCGGTGAAATCTCACTGACGTATGCCGCTGGTACTCGAAGGTCTGCTGAGTTGGGAGTTACTGACTGCATTAACTAAGCAGTAAAGTGGATTTACTCTATATTAAGCGTTCTCCGCCACGCATGTAGGTACATTCGCGACTCGGTGCTATACATGCCAACCTTTATGACGACCAATTACTATATACCCTAACAAGACCACGATACTTGAAGATATTTACCACAGGAATTACACGATCACTCGACTATTAAAGGGCGACGCGTGTTTAACAATGTAACAATGAAAATATTCTTTAGTTTTCGTCTACATAACTGAGTGGACCGTGTTTCCTTAACATAAAAGTTTATTTTGTATTTAATAAAAGCGTAATGAAAAGAAGTTCTCAGTGTGCCAACCCTCTTCTGAAGGTCGATGTGGCGCAGCTGCTGAAGAGCCTTGCCGGGCTGATTGCGGAAGGGCCCGCGCAGCACCGGCGAAAACTGCAGCACGCGCACGAAACCGCCCACGTCGCCGCAGATCAGCAGGCTGTTTTCGGTCTCCTCTTTGTGGAAGTGGTAGTACATGGTGCATATCTGGCGTATGACAATCTCACGGATCAAACCCTCCATGCCCTTTCCGTCATTAAACAAGTAGTAAGTCTACTGAAGTACGATGGAGCTCCACCGTTTTGATTGCGCTCCATGCGCGTGATTCAAGCGGTTTGTTTTGATATTCAACAAAGCAATGGGATTCTACTCTCATAAAGCAGCAGCAGTTTCTACTCTCATAAAAAATTACTAGCTTACCATCTGAAGAGAAAGTTAAGGCGCTAGTTTTCGATTGGAGTTTGGAGTTCCTCAATTCAATTCCTAGTTCCTCAATTCCTCAAATGTATGTTTTTTTATGTTTCTTATCTTAGAACTCCGTAATTTATGACACTATGATTTTTTTTATTGAACTATGAATTTAATAATTCTTTTTGCATTAAGTTCGGTTTAGCTCAGCATGAAATTGGCCCCAAATTAATTTGAATGACCTTGGGCTTTGGAGATACATCAGGTAACTCCCCAAAATCAAATAGAACGTTCTGGTGAGTACCTACCATTTTTGAAGTCAATTTTTTTGAATAAAAATGTAGATAATTGCATAACGCACAGGTTTTAATAGCACATGCCTATTGGGTTCCACAATTTTGTCTGTTAGGTTCTGTACAATTTCAGCTCGCTCCAAAGTACAAATTTGTAACTGTTGTTATGCTAAATTTATCAACTTTAAAAGTTTTGATTTTTGGTATTGAGTCAAGGAATTTAAGACTTACTAACGAGCTTTAAAAGTCAGCACAAAACACTAGCGCAACAATTTGGTTATGTTACCATATGCTCCCAACTGGAGAGGACGATCTTTAGCGTAAAAGTTCCTGCGCTGCAGTCGTAGAAGCGAAGGTCTCGCTCGGTGGAGCTGGTCACCACGATGTTCACGTCTGGCATGCAAGCCAGGTCTGTCACCCATGTGGTGCGCACCTTAAGCTGCGCTGCCGAGATGCAACCATGCAATTTATAGCACACGCGCTATAATTTGCGAAGATTTAACCAAGAATATCGTTCAAATTCAAATCAAAATTCAAATTCAAATCATTTATTCATCGAAATAAGAAATATAAATTTCATATATCGATAGTCATTTTTTAAATCTACCACCGTTTCGTTATGAGGTTCCCCTAACGGAGAAGAAACAGGCGAAAGAAACTCCGTAGGTTGAAATTAGGATGATTGAAATCAATTTTAGCCGCGCAAAGCTTTAGAGACATATATGTTTAAAACGCAAAATAAGTGAATAATATAAATCAAGTTAGCGTTAGTAATTGTAAAAGGGTGGAGTGAACGAATTGAACTAAACCCAACTGCTTGGCAAGACCTCTGAACAGAAGATATTAGTGGCGATTTTACATGTCTCCCAAATCATTTTTCCAACATTTTGAAAATAGTTAAACGCACAGTGGAGGGCCCAAAGTGGAGGGCCCAAACCCGTTGGTTCTTGCTAGCCCACCGGTTCTGCGTCAAATGAAGCTTTAATAATCTCGGGACTAAAAGCACAAACATCAGTTAATACTCCTCAGATTATTTGACCGACACGCTTGTGATAAGTGAAATCGGCATTTACAAAGGTAAAACACTTTCATTTAATCTCTGATCCTTTGTACGAATAAAATTAATTTCTCTGACGGTACATAGCCCTATAAGTTTTGTTTTACTCACGACTCGACGAATAGGCGGTTCTCAGCCGTGCCATGTCAAGCGACCACCAATTGATCATGCCGTCACGACTTGCCGTGATGTACGAGCCCTGCATTGGATCGGTGCTGCGGTCCTGCAGCGAAAAACCAACATATTCTGTTTTCTTCTCTTATAATCTGAGCAGAGTAGAGTTTATTGGCAGCGCTACACGTTTTACTATATTAGGCATGCTGCAATACTGCATAGGCATATCATTTCTCTTTGGCTGTAATTTTATGCAACAAGATGTCCAGTATCCAAGTTAAGATATTATTACATTCTTGATATAGTTATGTATCACAAAAAGACTACATAATATACTAAATACTATCAACTTAGCCACCACTCTAACTGTAAAAAAGTTCTTTGAATGAAAGTTATATTACAATCAAAGATACATCATGTAATTTTTATTAAACTTCGACGTTCTGTTTACCACTCTTGGAAAAAATAAGTACAAAAGCGATAAAACATTAAAAAAGAAGTCGAGTATCAGGTAAATTGACTTTAATTAATAAGTCCAATAGTTACTTTAGCAACATCCGGACAGAAGCATATCCTGGATATGGGATGGCGGTGTTGCGAACGCATAATCTTCGGCAGGCCCATGATGGGCAACTGGAGAGACTCGTCTTGGTCCTCTTGATCGCTGCCGAAGTAGCCAAGGAGCAGATGTGACACCAACTGGTCCCAGTCAATCTCACCGTCACGACTCGTGTTGATCTTAAATACGTTCATTCATAAAACATGTTGCTTTTTTCACTTAATCGTGCAACAAGCCAAAAAAGCTAGAGCTAATAAATCCTTTTACACATAAAATGTTTAAACAGTCGTATCAAAATATTATTTGCTCTACACAGAATTGTTACTGCATTAGTAGGACACAGTGGTGACGTGCGGTTGAGCAAGCTCGACCAGGGAAGCATCACGGCTTCACAAAAGAACGGCAAGTATCAGTTATTATACATTTGCTAAAATTTCATCTAGAGTCATAGCGGGAGGTGCATTATCTTAACGGCAACTTCTTTGGTGTTGTGTATTTCCAAGAGCAGAATAGACAGTGTACCGCTTACACCTTTGACACTATTTCTCAATGAGAGTGTGATGAGAAACTCTCAACTTTATATATATATATATGTTCTTTATATTCTTATGTACGTGTGCATGTCACTTAACTTCTCATAAACGGCTGGCCTGATTTTAATTAAATTTTTTTTGGTGGATTCGAGAATGAGTTTAGATTCACTAGGTTTTTCAAAAAAAGTTTGAGGACAACGTCTGTCCGATCCGCTAGTATAATTATAGATTAATAACTTTTATGAAAATCAACAATGTTTCAAGCAGAAAACTGTTGAAGAAGTACCTTCATGAAAAGTATTTTAAATTCTTCGTCGTCGTATTCTACGTTAAGCAACGTTCTTAATAGATTTCTGAAATCATTTTCCAACAGCTTGTTTCCATTAGCCGCCTCGAACACCTCCTTGATCCTGACCATGTCATTCATAGAACACCTTTCGTGAAGGGGTATGTTCCTCCACTTGCGAAGCTGAGGTGAGGTGCTGCCATCAGACCTCGACGAAATTGTTAAAAGTGACCTCAGGTCACTGTCGTTTGCCATGTTCATAATATAAATATTTTTCTAAATAAATCTAAAGTCTGTCGTTTAAAAGTACAATATATTAGTAGTATAGAGTATTTTTTAAAATGACATTGATAATGCTTGGTATCAAAATGACACAAGCGTAGTGTGGCTAAAATTATATCAGAGAAAATAGTTTATATATGTTAAAACTTTTCTCTGTTGTAGGGCCAACAACTTCTGCTGTTGCATTAACCGGCAGATTCATCTAAGGAAAAACTGCATCCTCAATGAAATCCGGCGTAAAGTAGTATTATATCTTCGCATCTCTTTCTGTCATCTTTTTCTTAATGACTTTAACCCCGAGATGTTTTTTCAATATTAAAGTTATTTGTATTGACTCGCAACTGTTATGCCCAACTTAGAGATGTCTGAGACAAGAGACAGCCGATCCGCCATGTGTGTTAGTTTCACAAAAGAGGGCTACCCTACCAGCCAATAAATAAATTGTAAGTAGAACCTACAACATAAAATTATGTCCTAATCATGACAAAACCCCTCGCTGTTCAAACAATCTTTTAATCTTTTAAAATATGTTGACTAATAAACTTTTACTATTAAACAAAGTTTTATTTGTCTTTAAAACATGTTAATACAATTTTTAGCAAATACTAGTAAACTGTTACCAAAATTATGCTAATCAAAATATATTAGTCTTGTTGGCTACTGTGCCATCGATTAAATGTTGCCAACATTAGAAGTATTTCGCACATGTCAACATTGTCTACGAAGTCAGTCACAGTCAGTGTCATGTTGACTGAGTCAAATTAAATAAACAATCTGATAAACTCAAAAGTTAAAAGTCCTACGTTCTTCTAGTTCTATAATCTATTAAAGACAGATTCATAACTTATAACCTAAAAATAAGAAAAAGGTTTAAAATATATAATTTTCAAAAAACAAGATGTTTTTAACACTTAGACTTCTTGGAAATAAACATCCGTCGTTTATAGCGCGTACTGTGTTTGTAAAAAATAACAATGTCGATGATGCCTGCAGACTAGTAAATAGGATTCTTGGCAAAGAAGGCATCTTAGAGCAATTTCGGCTTACGAGATATTACGAGAAACCTTTTCAGGTAATTTAAAATGTTATTAATAAGAAGAAGAAATAAATCTCTTTCCTTCTTCTTTAACTTTTCAAAACTATTGATTTTTTAATTTGGGCGCGATCATAAATTATTTAAAATTGAATATATGATTTCAAGTATTTTTTAATAAAATAATGGCAATGTAATAAATACATGTGTATACTAATACATGGCATATTTAAATAACTGTGGTCTTGGTATGTAGTATAAGATGTAGCTAACCTCTTTACGACAAAGGGTAAATCAATAAGCGTTTGTGTATGTGTGTGTTACTAAAGGATTAATAAAATTTTAGACAAGAAGGCGAATCAACCATGAAAAATGTAAAGCAATTTATAATGAAGATATGGAAAGGAAGATCCAATTTGTACTAAGAAAAAACCGTCATGAGCCGTTTCCTGGATGTCACTGAGGTAGTGAAGTTGTTGGAGGTAGTAAATGGATTAATTAAATTTTTAAGTAATGATACAATTTAAACAACAGCAATTAGTGAGGGACTTAAAATTACTGAGTACTACAACCTCTTAGTAATCCTGGAAATACTGTTTTGTCAACCACTTTTAAAATAAAATAAAATAGACATTGTACAAAAAGCTTTACTCTTATATAATATTTCCCTTATAGCAATAAAAATAATTCCTTTGCACATCATATTTACAGAAAAACACACTTTGTCAAATTACACAATGGAGTTCTTTTAGAAAAGTAGAAATACTGCACTTGAAGTTGATGTGACTAGTAGAATAGTTTGGCACAAATCTGTGGCCTCAGGCCGAAAGGCGTACTGTCACGTATAGCTGAGACAGGCGTCGCGGCGTCGGACGTAGTAATGGTAACGGTAGCAACGGTGGCAAGTTTTGATACCACAACGGTAACTGAGACCTCCCTGTGGTTTCCCTTTGCAGTACTTTAAGCCACAGGGATACCAGTTTACACACACCTGTAAAAATATTAATTTTTACAGTAAAGTGACAAGTCGGCAGACTTCACATTTCTTCAAAATACTTTTTTTTATTATTATTTCGAAAATTATGCAGATTTCCTCTAGATGTTTTCTTACACTATTGAGTTTGTGATAAGTCAGCAATTAAAATTGCATTTCAGAATTTAATTGCTGCTGGCAAAGGTTTTGAACTCTTATTGCTTGAGTAAATTGAATTAAAGGCGAGTGCCCAAATACAGCTATCCAAATAGTTATACATGCTTTCGCTACTGCCAGGATTCAAACAAGCACTTTCTTAATTAGACATCCTGGCACTGTAGCCACAAAGCTAAGTGATTGATGTATAATGCTGTGACATTATATGACACTTGATTGTTTTAATTTTTTTTGTTTTTTAAAAACATTGCCTTTACTTTAGGTTAACATTATCCTGTATTGTAAGGATGTTTTATAAACATAAATTTCACACGGACAAACACCCAGTTGCGAAACAACTATCTGTGGGTCACACAAATAGTTCTCTCGTTGTGGGAATCGAACCCATGACACCCGACGCCGAAGCCGATACCTTGGCCACTGCGCCACGGAGTCATCATCATATGAGTTTATTGTTTCTTAAAAATGTATACCATTTTAAAGAAAAAATAAACAGACCATAAATAATTTATACTACTTTTATTTTCACTTTAAAAATCTTTAAATTTTTACTTAATAGTAAACATACCTCTAAGTGACAAATACACTCTTTTGCTGCATCATTTTCTGCCACACAAGGACCAATAGCTGGTTTTCCATCTGTTGCATCCGGTGATAAAGCATTAGTTGGAAATGGTGTCACTTCAGAAGAATAAGATGACTGTTCCATTCCTAAAGAGATTATAGAAGAATAAATATATAGAATATTTAAATTTAGGTTAGAAGCAATTAAAACATATAAGAATTTTAAAATTCACAAAAGGTGGAAATCATACAAAGTTTATTTTGTTGTGCTTTGTAGTCAATTTAAGTGCATAAAAGTTAGTACTACTTATACTATTATCTTGAAAAAAAAAAAAACTATACTGCTTCCAATTTCCATAAAAAAATGTACAAAAGCACATGTTAGATTCTATGAAATACATTATTATGCAATGATGTATATTGATAAGATGTATATTTGTAACACAATTCACTCTGCTCTACCAAAATATGGTGTAAGCAATAAGAAATTATTTCTATAAAAGTTATAGCAATAAAAGTGAATAATCTATAACAATTATACTATTAAATTCATATGTTAGGAAACAATTGTAGAAATCACTAACAAACTTTGTTGGTATTACCTGGCCTAGGCGCCCATCTTGTGAGGTCAGCAGCTCTCAAATAAACACGCTCCCTGGCAGCTGCACAGTGCTTTGCTGCCGCGGGGGACAACAGGCGCGTGGCGCGACCTGCCCACGCTGTAGCTGTCGTCTGACGCCAGCCCTTATCTTCCTCCGCTACTCTCACTGTCCCAGGGTTTTTCTAAATGAAAATAGATAATAATAAAATAACAGACAGTACATCAGATAACATAACCTTATTATTACATTTTACATTATTAATTTGAGTTAAATGCCAATAATAAATTTGTTTTTTACAAATATTCGGAAGAGGAATAAATATTAGTTATATTTGAATTGTAGAAATTTATACTATGCGCATACCTGCCTCAGTTTGGCCATGGCATCTGGTGCAATAAAATCAGCCTGTGCAGCATGTGTTAAAAAGCACAGTGTCTGGTGGCCACTTTGGCCCAGCTCTTCCTCTGCTGGAATCACAACTTTCATAGCTTCAACTTCCTAGAAGCAAAATGATATTGTAGTTGAACACCAAAAAAACATACCAATTTTTGTATAGTTAAATAATAATATTCGATTATAATCACAAAAATTGTACCATTCTCTTATCATACATTGCACTTATAATAGTGCAAACACTTAATGTTATCCTACAAAAGATTTGATATAAATTGAATTACCAAGACCTAGAAGCCCATAATATTCAAGAAGCAATTATCCTTCTTTCTCAATTTTAAAAATGTGTTCTTTTTAATATCTTGTAATCAGTAGTCTTGAGTTTAAAACTGTATATTACATGATAATTATGAGAAAATGTGTTGAGACACAATAAAATTTTTGGGACATAGATTTAGTTAATGTCGAAATTGTAAAATGAATTAAGACATCAATACAAGAGAAATTTTATACTAAAGGTTAAAAAACTAAGAAATTTAAAAGAAATATGTAGCCACTGTTGAATCTTTTCACTAAAACTGAATTAACATTTAATATAAGTAGAAAAAAAGGTATGTGATGTGTGGTAAGTTTAATCACCAGCTTCTGCAATTACACTAATGGGTTGACATTCGGAGAAGTTCCAGAGCCTTACAAAAGAGCAGCGTGAAGTGGAAGTTTGATACTGTCACCTGATGGATGAGGTAATCAGTGCCAACTTTTTCTTAAGTGCCAACCTTAGCCATAGATGTTTATAAGCGGAGGTAACCACATATCATACGTGAACCGTCTGTTTGCTTGCTAACTGTCATTAAATATTAAAAAGTTCGTTCGAATTTTGACAATAACTTACGTTGGTAAAGTCAACAAGCTGTGATACATAAACTCCATCTAATCGTAGAAAATCTAGAATAACAGTGTCTTCTGACACATTTGCTATTATATTTTCTTGCATTACATCGCCACCCTACAAACAACAACCATGGACACTTAAAATATGATTTAATGTTGTAATTTGATCTAAATAGTACTTCTTTGTACCTGGTTTTTAACATTTATTAATAATTGCAAATTGATAGGTTGAATTATTGCGTAAAAGAAAATAAAATTAACACAAAACTGCATTTTATCTTTATAATTTTCTCCTTTTCTACATTTGTTTAATTTTTTTAGTTTTTATACTAAACTAGACTTCAAACTCAAAATATCGGACGTCAGACGTGACGCGACATTACTGTGAACATTTGTGAAGAATGTTATACAAATATACACCTTGTTTAATTGTTGTCACCTGAGTAAATATATAAGCTACTTCTAGCAAGTAAAATGTCTAAAAGATTGACGTATATTGTATATTATAAAAAAAATACCTGCTCAGTCCCTACATTAACTTTCAAGAATTCAATAAAAGTTATTTTTGTACAGGTTTATAAGCTTTACACAATACTAAAGCAATGTTCCATTTCAAGCAGAACGTTTGCTAAATGTAATATATTTTTTTATAAATCAAACTGATTGTGGTTTTGAAATTTGCTTTATTTCGTTTTTTTAGCTGATTTTAATTTTTAAAATAAAATAAACATTTTATTCATTTTGTCTTAAACTGTACTTTAAAATGTTATACTAGGTACTCAAAACTAGTTGAAGGTATGTCACAACGCACAATATTTTTATTTTGAGGTCATTACATTGCACACGATTCTACCCGATCTGCGACCGAACAACAAACGAACGTCATCTAAAACGGAAAGGGCGATGTTGCACATAGCGAACATAGACAGCTGTCGCTTCATTTTCAGCTGATTTTTGTGTACGCTAGGATACGTCGCGATCCCGAATACCGATCGTATCGTTGTGTTGAGGTGTTGTAAAATTTTCTTATCAGTTTTTGTAGATAGGATATATAACTAGAAGGTGTCAATAGGGAGCTATCGAGAAGCGTAGTCTTATATCGACGAACAAAGGGAGATGGTCCATTGAGCGCGGGTGGTGCGTATCGGGCGGCCGTGACGTCACGAGGCCGAGGCGTCGAGGCCGATGCGGCGGATGCGGAGGGCGCGCTCGTGATCTCGGCGCTCAGGGGAGCGCGGCGAGCACGCGCAGCCGAGCGGGAGAGGGCCAGCCTGGCCTCCAGTGAGTCGGGGGACGAGGGCGCAGGCCAGCGGCCGCCGCGCAAGCGCACCCGCAGGCTGTCGCCGGAGCCCGCGGCCATGCACCAGCCGTGCACCAACGGCGCCGTGAGCGCTCCCCACCACATCAACGGCGATGCCGCCGCCACCAACGGCGACTTGCAGGCGCCGGGCGTGCGGATGAGCCAGACCGACCAGGAGATCGTGCGGCTCATCGGGCAGCACCTGCTCTCCATCGGATTAGAGTGAGTGCCTATCGATGCTTTTCTTTGTTCTATGTCTAGATGTGTCCAGATACAAGGAAAACAATCGTGCAATTATGGCTGTCGGTGTAGGTGTTATGGATCTTACTGATTCATACTACCGCTAATGCTGCTTCATATTCAAGGTTTAACTGCTAATTGAAATTCTATATCAGTTTCTTTCAACTTAACATAAATGACAGTGTTTCACTGTGGTGTAATTGATTTACTATGTTTATGCATTGCACAAATTTTACAATCGTTCATGATGTGTTACATGTAGCCTTTAAATATGACTTTTTACATGTATCTACTTATTAATTCTACTTGAAATAATTAACTTTCCATTTATTTAAGCTTTTAGATTTATTTGTTGAAAAGTTAGTTTTCAGATTACTTTTAATGTAATTTCAGAGTCCCATGTTTATTACAATATGAACACAATTTTAGACATAATTTGATGCCACTTCCACAATTTGCCTTTGTTCACAAATAACAAACAAAGCAAAAATCACTGTAAAATATGATGGCCTTCTGAAACTTTGAATTACTGAATTAAAATATTTTATAGGCATAAAATAAACCCTTAAAAAAGAAGAATATTTATTGAAATCCAAAAGATTTTTTTTATTGCAATTAGACAAATCTATGAACAATTTGAGGGATGTGAATAAGTCAAGAAACATATTTATAAGCAAGTGGGCTGATGTTGGGCATCATATACCTATGTTATAACAAAATATATATAGAGAATTATTGAACAAAAAATAATTGAATTGTATCATCATCATCATATCATTTCAGCCTATTTGAGTTCATATATTCAGCCACTGCTGACCATGGGCCTTCCCCACAGACTGCCACAAAGCATGATCCACAGCCACCTGAATCCTCTGAACTTCCATTTATTCAATTGTATACTTAGAATTAATTGTAAAATGTTTATAAGTATTTCATATTGAGTTTGATGATTACTTTTATACCATGTATTTTAAAGTAGCACCTAGAATTAAATACATAGTAGTAAAATAGAGGTCCTGTTACAAACTGTTTGTAGTCTAAAATGAGGAAGAAATATTTTTCCTATGTTTCATTCTGTCAATTGTTAAAAGTTTATTCAAGTTGTGTATGTTTTCAATCTACAGCGATATGCTTATTATGCAATTCCTTGGTGCATAATTGCTTGGGCACTTGGTCAAGAACTGATAATGCAACATTTCAACATAACAAAGGCTAATTGGCCTTTTTATCACTTTTAATTAAAACTGCTTCTTCTTACCAATAAACTTCTATAATCAAACAAAATGCATGTTCTTATTAAATGTTTGCATTAAAAAGGAAACAAGATCCATGAGAGTAATGTAACATTAATAATAATAACATTCACCAAAATACAATGGAAATTGAGATGGGGAATCTGCAGATGTTCTTAGTTTTTTAGATGTTAATTTAATTTTAATTATTATATTATAAGTAATTCCCTTCTATTATAAGAAACATTCCGTTGAACTTGCAATTTTTATGACGAATACAAAGATATGTATGAACTAGTTTTAACTGCAGGTCTCAATTACAAATTACTAATTCAAATGGATAAGTTATTGTGACACCAAATTTTGTCTTATTAGATAGAAAATTCTTTAACAGTTGTTTGTTCATCTAGTTCTGAATATAATTATTAAATGAGTAGTGTCAAAAGCTATCATGACAAATTTTTCACCACATGCTAATAACTTGCATTGGTATTTGTCTGTATGGTATGGTCAGTACAAAATCTGTAATAAATTAGATACAAACTACCTGATGAGCTTTATACTTGAAATTTTAGCTATGAATATCATGATTAAAAATATACTCATGGTAAAAACTTTTTTTTTTAATTCAAAACTAGCACTTGACTGCTATCCCACAATTTAAAATATGTTTTAGAGATACATAAATAAAAAACGTCTAGGCATATTCCCAGAAGTAAAAGACTTCTAAGAAATATAACATTTTTTAGTTTTTCAATTTTTATATCCTGACCTATGTAATTCAATAAGATTTGGTACTAACTATACCAATTAACTATACCATTCAGTAACGGATGTAGAAGATGGTTAATGAATATCATGATGTGGCGTATTAGATGGCGCCAAGCATTGTTAAAAATTCACTAAAGAAGTAGATAGATGTCGCCATTTCCGGGCCTTGACGTCATCGGCCTCTTAGCTTAGTTGGTTAAGTGTTTAGGCGTTTTACCCGGAAGACGCTGGTTTGAATCCCGCAGCGCTGAAAAATGTTTACAAGAAAAAAGCCTCGTTTTAAATATTTTTTTTTTCTTTCATCTCAAATTTTAAAAATCTCATGTATAAAAAAAAACCATGTTTGTACAACATTGGATCTTACATTTAAAATGCTTTGGCGCAGGGAAGCGTTTTGACTAGTACATAATTATTTCTGTATTTATGTGGGATAACGTGCTCGTAGAAATGAGTAGACTCGTTTCCAATAAAATATAAACTTTATTCACCGTAACAAGCAAAGGATTATTAGAAATATATAATTAGAGAACTTAGCGTCGTACAAGAATTTAATTTTCCTTCTCTCATTTTACCTACATTCGTCTCGCTTATTTCATTTCTTAATTCTTTCACTCACAATCAGTCTTCGCATTCCATTCCCACACTTAAGTATCCTTGATGTTTACTAAAATTGTACACGAATTGTTCACAAGTAAAGCAATTTGTCGCGTCGCAAGGATCTCTTTGTCTAGAGGTCGAATAATCTCTCAACGAAACTAGACGTCTGCGAAAGTCTAGACAGACGAACTAGAAGTACCACGGTCCATTGTAGTGATCTGTCTCTAGAAATATCGATAAAATCCAGATTGAATACCGACTTGTGTGCAAGTGTCGGCGCGACGTTCAAATAATCAATTTTTTGGTTCGGCTCAAGGCGTTGACACTGCATTCGAGCTCACCGACCTCACAGCCCGGGTCTCTGTTCGAACTTCTGTTCTCCGGGGGCGTCTAGACGTACATAGGGCAACATTTTCTAATCCACAATTGCCGTACCGTTATCCCGTCTTATGGTTAGACATTTCAAGTTCACCTCAACTTCGCACGGTTGGAGAAAAATCATGTTACGTTAAATTTACCGCTACAGGAAATAAGTAAATTATTTCAAATAACTTATTTACATTTTTACTCGAAATCTCAATATTTGCGAAGACTCTTGAAACCGGATTCATTTCCCGACGGGAGGATGTTTTAAAATTATAGCTTTACCTATAGATAGAGTTTTACAAACATTGCTTGCGTGGTTTCCACCCATATCTTTACCTCCGAATAGAAAAGCAGACAAACAAACAATGATTTCCGTTTGTTCGTAAATGTTTACGAAACTAATAGGACTTTCCGATAACATCTCATTTTGATTAGATGCCAAGTGATTTGCACTCGATTTTAATCGGTCCAATACTGAGCCAACAGTCGAAACTGTTAAATCTAAATGATAACGAATACACGATACAAATCTGCTAATTGGTTCGTAATCGTCGATAAACATATCCGCGAGTCTGTAGAATACATCACACACAGTTGACGCGGCTCTAAGTGACGCGGCGATTATTTATTTTGATTTCCCGTATTAATGTTGCAAGTCACGAAGCACCTTGATATTTTCTATCGTGGGCTTGACGATATTTTTCGTCTTCGATAGTAAGCGTTGTGGTCTAGTCTCCTTTAGACCGTTGTCTTGACAAGAGATACCTACATATCGTGAATACGACCACTTTATGCCAGAAGTTGAATTGTATACAGACTTATGGTCGCCTTTTTCTTTTTGCCCTTTTCGCGTAGACGGCATCAGCGGTACGTGTAAATATTGTGTCCGGCTGTCCCAGGGCTGATTTAAACTGGCTGAGTCATCGCCCGTTTGGCTATTCTCGTCTGCGGCCCGACGGCCGATGAACCGGCATTCACCTGCCCTGGAACATATTGCCACAATGTCCACCTTATGCGTCTTGTCTCGGTGCATTGTTTACAAGCGCCCCTTAATATAGATTTTATGCCTCGCATGAATAAGGAAAGAGGATATACCGGCGTATTGTATTTTATTATTACTCATTATTGGGATTCAAGATATAAAAAATTATAGCAATACTTTGGCTGTCCTAGCCAAAGTATTGCTATAATTTAATTAAAAAAAAACTTTATACTAATCAATTTAAACAAATTAATGTTCGGTTCTGCGCTTATAGCACAGTGATGGCACTATTGTATCTTTGTTATCAGTCATTAACCTTTTCGCTATCCTCAACACAAATTGTTTAGGTTATTCTAAGACGTTAAATATAATTAATATAATAGATAATTTTCGCGACTATTAATTTTGGACACTATTTAGAATACCGTAAGTAATACCAACATCTATTCTTTTGCAAAACTCAATGGAGAAACAATGGTCCGTGATTAACATTTTTCTTAGTTAGTAAATACATTATCTGTGATCTGGTTAAGTATAAATATCGATAAACTAATAAAAATAAATAACGCAACAGAAGTCGCCAGCATTAATTATTTTTATTATTATTTCAATTACAATTTTTTATTATTAAATTAAATTTCTAGAAATTTCTATTTTAGAATAAGAAATCTTTTAAACTTCCTCATCAACATTTTCTTTAATTTTATCGATACAGTAACTCGTATTTTCGTATTTCTATTTGTTATAGAATTGCATAAACATTTTCTATCGAACGCATATGTATTGATTGGCGTAAACTTGATATATAAATAGGAAATAAAGTGGCAATTTTCTTTTTTCAATACGGTATTACCTATACCTAGACACTTAGGCCTTCGGGTTATGGCAATGAGATGAAGTATAGTTCATAGATTAATATCCGTATGGTTCACACTTCGAACACAAAAATCAATTATGAATTATTGATAACTCATAATTGATTTTTGTGATTAGTGCTGATTTTTATATAAGTATATTTTACGAAATTTTATTAAAATCGGAGTGCTGATTTTTTTTTATATTTTATGAAATTTTATTAAAATTTAAAATCAATATTGCCAGTCTTCGTCGACGGTAATTTACGCCAGACGCTTTAAAGTTTGCGAAAAAATAACGTAAGTTTACTTACAATCTGAGTCTTGATTTTTATAAATGATATTTTGGAAACTATTTCAACACTATTTGCATGCAGCCAGACAAATTGTAGGGGCCAAATATCCCCCAGACATATTTAAAATCTCGCCGTGAGTATGAACGCGCACATAATGTTTTCATCACAAAGTAAAGTAAAGTAACAGCCTATATGTGTTCCACTGCTGGGCAAAGGCCTCTTCTACACAGAGGGTATCAGGGCATAGTCCACCACGCGGCCCCACTGCGGTTTGGCGGACTCTACATATCTTCGAAAATATATATTTTTTATTATTATTTCGAAAATATGCAGGTTTCCTCACGATGGTTTCCTTCACCGCGGAGCACGTCATAAGTCAGCACTTAAAGTTAAAAAAGTCTTGTAAAATTTATGAATAATCATTAAACCATATTTTAGTGTTCAATAACAAATTATAAATTTCAGTATGATAGAGATTGTTAAATTAATAATAAAGAAAATTAATTTAGTTAATATCATTTAATTCGATAAAAAAATACTTTACATTTTTCTACAAGATACAAAGAAAGATGTAGAGAATAATAAAAGTAATAAGTAAAGTACTTATTACTTTTATTATTACTTTCTTAATTAATAATTATTTTTTATTTTTTAATTATCGTCATCGGCAATCCAGCCAATCTTTGTATTCAGTGGCCAAGTCATCTTCATCGTCATTAATATCAGCATTACTTGTTTCTGTCTCTTTTTCAATTTAACGTATTTCATATTAATTTATTTAATATCTATCTAAGTTACAAATAGTTTAGTGCCAAAAGATGTCTTCTTCGACAAATTCTTCCATTGAAATACGTCCATACGTATTTTAAAAAAGTTGATACAAGAAGTGTTTCTTGCAACTTATGCAGGAATAATTATAAAAGCAGCGATGAAATGCGAGCGATGTTTTTATGTACCTTTAACACCTGGTACCAGTGAATTGGCCGCCGGCCCAAGCTAGCAGGTATGTATAACTTCAGAGTATACTCTAACACTGCCGTGTACGATATATTTTGTTACTCAGAAAATAAGTAACGTCTGACGGCCCTGGGCCCTTGCTCTATAAGTGTAATGCTTCTATATTGAGTAAAGATATTTGAATTTGAAACAAAATTATGATAGTGTCCAAGCTTCGTTTGTCCTTTCGTAGTTGGCCTCGGCGCTGGAGGTCTTGGGTTCGAATTGCACACGGGCTGGGTATTTGTGTGAGCCACTGATATTTATACCAGAAATGGAGGATGTATGTTTCAACGGCCTAGCAATACAAGTATAAGTGTTATCTTAAAGCGAAGGCACAGTAAAAAAAATTAAAGCAAATCTTGATAATTCACATTTTAAATAGTAGTAGTTGTATTTTATCATTTTTATTTGTATATAACGTTGTCTTCACTACTCTTAATTAACAAAATGAGATCCGATGAAGTTGCGGAATATTTCACTTGTAATTATTTTATTATACTCGATTGTCATATTTGTAATGGTTTTAATATTACATGCCTGAATAATGGCTCATATGCCTGTAAATGCAAACGCTTATGGCCGCTTAATGGATTCAATTGTTTATGAATAACATCGTAGCACTGAATTCGCCGTTGGAGAAATGTGATGTAAACATTTATCTCCAATAATTCATACCTGAAGCAAGAATAATAGCGTTCATATTATATTTACTTAAAGCGAACAAAGAATGAAAGTAATGCAAATATAGCAAACGGAATTGTAAGAAACGAGAGAATGGTCCATATTCAGACGGTTCTACGCATACTTAAATCGCAAACTTGACAAGTATTTGGTAATTTATATGTAGTCACACAGCAGTCTGCTGTTGCACGAATAGGCAGGCTCTTTCGGAGAAGTACCACGACCTCACAGAGACCGGCGTGAAGTGAAAGTGTGAGTACGGTAACCAATCTGCAAGGTGGCAACGAATCTGCAACCCTGGTGTTGCAGATTTTATATGGGCGCTGGTTATCATTTGACATCAGTCTCAAAACGGGAATTGTGCGCGCCACAGTCCTCAGAAATCCCCACTAAGCCATCTTTGGCTTTTAAAGCGACGTTCTCAATTCGTAAGCGGAATGTCATTGGATCATGTTGTGGTCTCGCACCAGGCGCAGCGCCGCGCTCCTGATGGAGGAGTCGGGTCTGCACCTGGAGCACCCGGCCGCCGCCACGTTCCGCCAGCACGTGCTGGCCGGCGACTGGGTCAAGGCCGACCACGACCTGCGCGCCCTGCACGACCTGCTCCAAGACTCTCCCCACGTCGACCCTCACAATCTCGCAGTGAGTGTACAGACTTGATGTTCAGGATAATAGTGCATTCACGTTTTTGTGCACAGCGTAAGTTAGAAATCGTTGGGGCAATGAATAAATGTATTGTTTTTAATAATTTGTGTGCGTGTGGGTATCGGTAATCGGGTTGAATTTAGGTTGACTTTTAGAGTGTGCAATGAAATACGTGTTTCACTTTGGTAGTTTCATTTTCAACTGGTTTTACAAGTAGGACAACTAGCGAGATTATATGTAGATATAATTAAACAGTAAAGTACTTTTTGTGAGTCTAACGTCCGGTTTCTTAAACACTGATCATCGTAGATGTTAACTAATCAGCTGTCCTAGCCAGCTAACCAGAATGATCTTCTTTATGATCAGAATGATCAATTCAAAGAGTTTAAATATCCTTTCGGTAACTATGACATGTAAATGTAATAAAAATTTAGACTATTCATAGGCGTGTGAGCGAGCGAAGTGTGTTGCGGCGTGTTTAAACGCGTTGTGCTTCGGGCGTCCTCAGGAGATGAAGTTCGTGGTGCTGGAGCAGAAGTACCTGGAGCACCTGGAGGCGGGGCGGGTGCTGGACGCGCTGCACGTGCTGCGCAACGAGCTGACGCCGCTGCAGCACGACACGGCGCGCGTGCACCGGCTGTCGGCGCTCATGATGTGCGCCGACGCGGCCGAGCTGCAGGCGCGCGCGCGCTGGCCCGGCGCGGGCCCGCTCTCGCGCGCCGCCGTGCTGGCCAGGGTCCAGGTCGCCGACTCTCCTTCCCTCCCGCCCCTCCTTCCCGGCCGACGCGATGGCCAGTGATCACCGCCGCCCAGCTCTCTGGGCGTTGTTTCAGTGGCATCAGCCGATTGTAGAACGCTGCCCGGCTGTACCCCCAGTAGGTCTTTGACTGGCATACGATCCGCATGTTTCGGGTAAACGCAGAGCCTGTTGTAACGACTTGAGCTAGAGCGGTGCGTGCGTGGGCAGGGCGTGCTGCCGCCGGCGCTGATGATGGCGCCGGGGCGGCTGCGCGCGCTGCTGGCGCAGGCCGTGGCGCAGCAGGCGGCGCGCTGCCGCTTCCACGCCGCGCCGCGGCCCTCGCCGCACGCCGACCACATCCCCTTCTCGCTGCTGGCCGACCACCACTGCTCGCCCGACCGCTTCCCCATCCACCCGCTGCAGGTACGAGCCGTCGCCGCCGCCCCCCGCCCCTCCTCACAGCCGAGCCCGCCCGCCGTCACCGCTCCCCTCTCTGCGCAGGTCCTCAACGAGCACTGCGACGAGGTCTGGTACTGCAAGTGGTCCCCGGACGGCTCCAAGCTGGCTTCGGGCTCCAAGGACAACACCGTCATGATATGGGACTTCGACCCGGTCGCCAAGCGGCTCACCTTCAGGTCTTCTTTTTGTTAATCTCTAGAACTAATGCATCATCAGTCCATAATTAGTGCTCATCATAAACCCTTCGCAGATAGTCGATACACCTGGTGGATAGTGAGTGCAATTAATTGTTGATTCCTCACTTGTATTCCGCTCAAATTGTTAAACTTAGTCCAAAATATCAGGTTGAATGTGTCGGTAATGTAATTATATATCAATCGTTTCGCAGGAAATCGTTCGAAGGCCACTCGTTCGGGGTGTCCTACCTTGCCTGGAGTCCGGACGGGCGCTACCTGCTCTCGGCGGGCCACGAAGACTGCCCCGACATCTGGATCTGGAATATGGAGGTGAGACGCTCGGGCTTTCACCAATCGTGGATTCCGCTCCTATGGTCTTGGGAAGCTCGTGGCTCGTTCCCCCTCTAACGCCACACTCGCGTTGGCCTCGCAGACGGAGCAGCTGCACGTGAAGATGTCGCACTCGACGGAGGACTCGCTGACGGCGGCGGCGTGGCACGCGTCGTCCGACAAGTTCGTGTGCGGCGGCGCGCGCGGCCAGTTCTACCACTGCAGCGTGGACGGCACGCTGGTCAACAGCTGGGACGGCGTGCGCGTCAACGCGCTGGCCTGCCGCGCCGACGGCCGCTCCGTGCTGGCCGCCGACACGCACCACCGCGTGCGCCTCTACGACTTCGCCGACCTCTCCGACCGCAACGTGTCGGTGCCCCCTCTCCTCTCGCCTCTCACTGAATGTTCTAGGATAACATCGACTTCACGTGGACAAACGCCCAGATACAAAACGAAAACGTCCAACAAACAGCATTCATCATCTATCATTATTGTTTCTGCTTTCCAATTTCAACTATGTATTCAACGATAATAATTATACTGAATTATTCTACCATCGGAAGCGAAGATAAGAACGATATGGGAATTTCCGCCCGCCGAAATATCAGTTTTAATTTCAAATTTAGCGGCTTAAAAGCTTTAATACTTTCTAAGTATTTTGCTAGAATTAAACAAAAACCCAGACCAGAAACAATTATCTATGGGTTATCTAAATAATTGTCTTCTGTGGGAATATTGAACCAACGACTACGGCACCAAAGCCAATAAGCATCAGCTCTACGTAGTCATCAATTTTACTCTTACTATGTAATACCAATTTTTAAGGATGCACAGATGCTAGAAACGAAACACATCCAAGAAAATATTTTGTAGGTAATACAAGTAATGAGCAAATTAAAATCTGTTGATTTTTAGTAATGTGATGAGATGAAAATGGAGTATTACCTTGACTCCGTTTCATTTCCGCACATTAATTTCCAAAAATAAAATAATTTTAGGTCAAACTGTCACAGATTTTATTGATTGTTTGACATTGTTATCAATTAGCTTTGCATGACGGAAGATGAGAAGGGATCGTCGTCTCTTGCAGGATCCAGGAGGAGCACGCGGTGATGGCGATGACCCTGAACGCGGCCGACACCCTGCTGCTGCTGAACGTGGCTAACCAAGGCGTGCACCTGTGGGACATACGTGAGTGCTGCGGCCTCTGCATTTACCTGGCCTAAAACCCACTCTACGCTTACCGCGCCCTCTACGTTCTCTGCGCCTACTGCGCTCTCTATGCCATCTACGCCTATCGCACCTTTACGTTCTCTGCGCCCGCTACATCATCTATCCTTTTATTCGTACGGCGCCCTCTACGTTGTATACGCCTACTGCGCCTGCTACGTCATCTATCCCTCTACGCCTACCGCGCCCTCTACCAGCCTGGTCCGTCGCAGGCGCGCGCGCGCTGGTGCGGCGCTTCCGCGGCCTGAGCCAGGGCCACTTCACCATCCACGCGTGCTTCGGCGGCGCCCAGCAGGACTTCATCGCCTCCGGCAGCGAGGACAACAAGGTGGGCAAAGAGTATCGGTTCAGTGGGACGTTACGGAGCTCCCGAACCAATAAATACAACTAGTTGTTTTCTAAGTGCCCGGCGCCACCCGGCGTGCACACTTCGCAAATAACCTTTGAAGGAGCGCACTCAAACCGTTGCAGGTGTACATCTGGCACATGAACGGCGAGGAGCCGATCGCGGTGGTGTCGGGGCACACGCGCTGCGTGAACGCCGTGTCCTGGAACCCGGTGCACCACGACGTGCTGGTGTCGGCCTCCGACGACTTCTCGCTGCGCCTGTGGGGGCCGCGCTCGCACCAGTGCTAGGCCCGCCCCCCTCCTCGCATACACTTCGTACCGTACATGAAACCACGGTGTACGTGTGACTTGTGCAAATATTGCCCAAACATTTTTCCATCGATAATCAAAACTCAGGTTCAACCGTTAAAATCGTCCGTAACCAACTTAAAGCCTACTCGAGACAAGATGTTCCAAAAGTTTTGCAAAGTCTACTTGCAATTGCGATCTACGGATTTCTCTTATATTTATATAGACTTACTCGAGTGTAGAGATAGGAAGGACTTGTGATATTTGAGAGATTTATTAACACTGAATGGTTTTATATTTATTATAACGACATTTTTACAGCTAACTTTAAAATGTACCAAAATGAAGACACACACATGAACTCCAGATATAACGACAAAGGTGACAATCTATAAATGTTTTGAGGACCGATTTTAAATGGGTCGTCACTGCGAATAACGAATATCAAACGGTTTGCGTGCAATATGCCGTGCCATTTCGAGAGTGCAATAGCGACATTGGACTGTCTGACGTCTGTTGATAAAGTAGATTTCGCATCGAGCGGTTTTATAAAATTAGATGTAATGAGACTCGAAAATTTTAGTAGTTTTGTATGATCGGGATTTTTCGTAAATTTGAGTAACAGTGCTGCACGGAGCAGTGGGCCACGGGGTCCTAGGCCTTAGGCTCCAGCCTCATCTGTCGGGGACACGCCTTTGCGCAACGAAAATTAAACATTTAAAAATTCATTCAAGCGTATAATGCGTTACTGTAACTAGTATATTTTCCATTTCGTCCGTGAAAAATGTATAGTTTGCTGGCCGGGCCCCGTTTGGCGTGGCGTGTTAGTTAGTTGCGCGGTCCACCTTCCGTGGTCCGCGGGCTAGATTAGGATTTGGGTTTAAATTTTAAGTAAGTAACTTAGCGCGCTGAGTTGTCAGCCTTTAGGGCGCCGTGATCGGCTCTATTTTTGTACCGGCCGTGGAACTAGCTGTTGACACGTGCACTATTATTTCTAAACGCGTCCAGTCTGACTGATTTCGATACGGATTGGTTTTTATTTTTTTTGGGATCCATCGAGCATTGCGTGCTATGGATCGATCCAGTGTTATCTTTCCTTCCACCATGGTGATTGGTGGTGGACAGTAGTTCTAACCGTATGATGAAACTGTTTTGAGGTATAGTGTGACCTGCTAGCTATAATAACGTTTGGCAGTTGCCGGTCGATCTCCGGGACGAATATCCTGCGACATAAATGCACATAGCGGCTGTGTGAATGATTTTTCCGATTATACAGATTTGAGTGTGCTTTTTAAGGTCGCTGTTTATTGCGAATGTTTCATGGGCGCTTTGCTTTGGCCACACACTACAGATCGGCATGAGTTGGGCCATTTACTTCAATCCCCCGGAGGTCCCTGTGTACCCAAATATGGAGCAATAATTGTGTGTGCGTGTAGCAAGTACAAAGGGCGATCGGTGAGGCGAGTTGGCATCTGCCACCAAGACTCGCGAATGTGGGATCGATTGTTATAAATAAATATAATTATTATATCAATAAATTTTTTATTGCAAATCTGATATAGATTTTTTGTTCTCAACCCATACCCTCTTTATCTTCTCTTCAGAATGCATATTATTATTTAGATATAAATCACTTAAGCAAACAATTTGATCAAAAGTAACCTTACTATACTTTTCAAGTTTAACAATAAATAGATAATAAATTGCTCTTCACCTAATTTTTAAAAACCTATTCTTTCTATGCAATTTTATACAAAAGTAAGTGAGTGTGTACACAATAATTTACAATGAATATTTTAGTAATTCCTTTTATTCATGAAGTTATAGCTTTAACTTAAGCTCTTATGCATTAACCATTCATTATCATCAATGATAAATCAAATCACTAAACAGTAAATATAATAAAAAGAAAGCAGAGAACAGCCTAACATAAAGCTAGATATTATTTACAGAATGTCAGAGATCTATACTTGTAGTTATAAATTAGCAGTTCCAGATTTCTCTACAAGTTCTAGTAGTGTATGTAGTGATGTATCAAACAGTTCACATCTGATTGGCATCTCCAAAGAATAAAATGGGTTCTTGAGGGCATAATCTGAGTATAGCTCATAAATGCGCTTCAATACCACATCACTGCCTTGCATGTTAGGGTCTGTTACCACTATAAACTTAACACCTGCAAAATAACAACTTCCTTATTAACTTAAACTTGCAAGAAAATTTTATAATGCATATTAAGGATTATTATAATTAAAGATGGTTCTTTTATGTCTACTATGATCCCCAAACCAATCTTGTAAACTTCATTATTCTATGGTAGTAGAATACAAACCTGTTAAAGTTTGAAAGCAAGCCAGTTTAAAAGTATCTGCTACCAACACCTCAATGCCTGAAGACTTAGGTACAGGGCTTAGTTGACTGGCCAATGCAAATAATGGATAGAACATACTTGCTAAGACTATCTTTTCATTGGTAGTAGCTCTTGGTCTCCCAAATTTCAAACTTAGTGGGTAATTTTCCTTAAACATAAATTATATTTTTCTTGTAAATTCATAGAGATGACAAATACATCCTTAAAGTACAAAATTATTTTGGTATTGATTACTTATAAATGCTGTATTAACATTTAAATTATTTGACACTAAGCCTTAATCTAAAGCCTTTGCAACTACTTAATAAATAATTATGTGACAACTTTTCTACTCTTTAATACTGTTTTGAAATACATTCTTGAAAATATGATAAACTAATTAGAATACAATAAATAATATTGAACAGTACGGAACAGCAAAAGAGCTAGTGATTCAAAGACATAGTTAATTGTTGATTTTTACCTTAGCTTCAATGAGATCGAAAACATCTTTGCCATCTTCTGTAGTACGTCCAGCAACCGGAGACCCATTAACAGACAATAATATGTGTCCAACTGCAATATAGTAATACTGTCATTGAACATAAAATCAATGCAATAAAATATACAAACAAAATTTTAAAACATAGCACGCACCGTTTATTCCGTCTCTTTGGCCAAATACAACAACGACTTTCTTATTTTCATATTGCAGCTTAATATCTAATGGAAAACCAAATGTTTTCTCAGTTTCCACTTTTGGTATGTTATGGTCGTAGTTATATATTAATCCACCTGATTTGCTTACAATAAATACCCCGTATATAACCATTCTGACTTTGCTTATTTAAATAATTATAATTATTATTGATTTTATTTAAAAAAAATTATAAACACTCTTTGACAGTTTGACAATGACAGTTAAAATATCGTCGTTTTATCAAAACATCGATATTATCCATAGAAAATATTGATACATGATAAATCGATATTCAATATTTATTTTACAACATCGAATTCTCATCAATTTCGTTATATTCTTAAAAGCAACTCGTTTCATATCTACTTCTATAATAAGTGAAGGAAAAACTTTGTTCCCCTTGTTAGAAAACTAGCGCAGACAAAGGATTATGAAATTACCCACACTTACGCCTGGTTTCTGAAACACTTATCATCGAGTAACCAGCTATTGAGGTGACCATACGGTGACGTGACGGTCAACGGTAATACGTTATTTGAGGTGCCAAAAGGATTGTTAAACTCTTTGAATTGATCATTCTGACCATTAAGAAGATCATTCTGATCAATTCAGAGAGTTTAACAATCTTTTTGGCAACTCAAAAACATTTCAAAATCCATTTGACAGCTGGTTAGTTGACTTCTACGATGATCAGTGTTTCAGAAACCGGGCGTAAGTCTTGCAGAATTTAGTTGAACCTCATTTATTTTTCATCACCAATTTGGTGTCATTTACTTATATATTAGTAGTAGTTATCAATATTGTTACTTTTGATTTACCTATAAAACGCCGAAAGAATTCAATGAATTTTGATCTTTAGTAAAAACTTCCTTTTTTTATGGAAACATATTGATGTGGCAACACTTTGGTTCATTAAAATAACTTAGAGGCCTAAAAGACTTGATTCCAGGGCCGTTAAACTAATAAAAAACTTAAAATAACATCAAATGAGTTATTATTATTAAAATTAATAGAAAAAAGGACGAAAGTTTCTTGCCGCTGCGTCTGGGTAGGAATCAGGAATACGTGGATTCGATTCCCCCAGCAGATTCAGATTACAATGGCGACATCTGTTTATATGGTGTGAAAGTATATCCTTCCTAACCTAACCTAACAATAGATGCGTCAAGCTTTGCTTAAAATGCGGAAAAAATATATGGCTAAAAGATATTGAGATTTTCGTCGATAAAACATCTGGGTGCGAATCCAGAAGACTTGGGTTCGATTCCCGCACTTGCGAGAACCTTTTCGTCCTATACACACTACAAATTTTAATGTTTCATCTTAAGTACGGAGTGCGCTATATTTATTGGCCTCACGTAAATTTTCTTAACAAAACTGCACACACGACATTAACACTTGCAAGCGCTCGTATGCGCGACCTAGTTTTAGTTTGTAATTAAAATTATAGTGTTTTACAGTGCAATAAAAGCATTCATTGACATCGGTCAGTTTATTTGACATTTATTACCGCCAACTAATTCAGTACCTCAGAGGTAAACAACATTATGTGACAAAAAACAAATTTTAAAGTAGAGGTAAAATGAATGAATCTTTGAATGCATTATTGATTATAATGTTATATACGATTGGATATTTTATTAATTAGGCTTCGTAGGACTTAATGCTTTGTACTGCTGTGTACAATATGTTCTTGCGATTTTAATGGTGTAGCCCACGCCAAGATAGCTCAAAGAGGGCAGGAGGTTTTCTGACTTACTTTCTACGTGTCTTAATACTTTCTACGTGTTATTTCAATGTATACCCTGCGTCAACTATTATCTTCCGTCACAAAGAGTCCAAAACGTTGCAATGTATGTCATACATAGATATCACGTGAAAGATAAAGGCAAATGAAAACTTAGCTAAAAAGTTGTTGCGTGGAATTGATCTCAAGACAGTCAGCACGTGAGCTTATCTATGCTGATCCAATGTGCTACAAACGTACTGAATCAAATAACGGTAAAAAATAGTACATGCTTATCAAAGACACTTGGGCATGTATTGAAAGTCCCAAATTAGAAGTTATGTTATTGTTAATGTTCATTTAATATCATAAAATAAATTCTTGTGAGCATCCCCTATCCCACCTAGGTGGGGTAAGGGCGATAGAAACAAGAATGCAGAGATAATGTGCTTGCATACCCATATTAAACAGACGGATGCCATTATATATTTTTTTAATTTTAACACAACGTTATATATAGGTTTATTTTAACCTCTTATAGAAGGACCGTCAAGAAACTCCGAGGTCCTGTTATGTAATTTTTTTAAATTAATTTTTAATAAGTTTACAAAATTATTTAAGTAGTAAATCAGAGGTAGCCAGGGGACTTGCAAGTGCAGAGCTGGAGTCATTTCCGCACATAATAAAAAGTAAAGTAAAGGCCAACACAATTCACACTTGCTGGGCAAATGCCTCCTCTGTACAAGGCTTATTAGGGCATAGTTCACCATGCGGCCTCACTGCAGATTGGCAGACTTCAAATGGTTAAAATTGTTAACACTTAGTTGTTTGTGCATTTCACCTATTTTATTGTATAACCCTTTCCAATAAAGAAGCTTTTACAAATGGTTAAAATTGTTAACACTTAGTTGTTTGTGCATTTCACCTATTTTATTGTATAAGTTAATACATCATATAATTTGCTACTCACATTTTCTTATATTTAATACCTTTTTATCTTTGCAGTATGTATAAACAGCATACATAATGTGCTCGAAGTTTTATGTCGCTAAAAAGAACATTCTATTTTTTAAAGTGTGTAAAACAAACTATTTGTTCTTAGTTGTCACCATCAAAGAGAATGTAATCACTACGTTTACCATAATGATACCATACGTTTTAATGGTCACCATATCCGCGCAACGAAGATCACTACTATGTCACTAAGCGAAGATCACTACCAATTTCACTAATAAAAAATTGTGCTTGGTAGGACTGTAGACTTAAATACGAAAAGAAGCCAATGAAAATAGCAAATATAATTAAATAAAAAATATAAAAAAATAATGTAAGTATTAAATAAAAAATGTTGCCTCTGCAGGCTATCAAACCCTTATTTACAAATTGGTAGCCAAAGATTCGCAAGCACATGGCAATTGTATTTCAAAAGTAAAGTTCGCAAGTGTGTTCAATCATTGTCAGCTGCGTGCTCGGCGCATCATCTTTACATAGTATAAAGCAAAGTCGCTCCTGATGTTTGTACGCTTAGATCTTTTAAAGTACGCAACGGATTTTATTTATTTATTTATTTTTATGCGAAAAGTTGCCAACGAGCAGACGGTTCTGATGTTAAGTGAGGGTTACAGATGCGTTGACAACCTTTTCGTAAAGTGGGCTCCGGCTACCTCACTCACCAGACGAAATGCGAAAGTATTTGTCATACTTCCACTTTACGCCGGTCTTCTGTGAGGTCATGGTACTTACCCGGACGAGCCTGCCCATTCGTGCTACAGCCGAGGCTGCTGCGTGGCCCTACCACGTTACAAAAAGGATTTTAACGCGGTTCTTAGCAATAGAGTGATTCAGGTAGAAGTTTTATATATTATGTGGTATACATGCACATTATAGTAGAGAAAAGAGTCGAGAAATTCAATATCTACATTGCACCCGCGCGAAGCCGAGGCGGGTCGCTAGTAACAAATAAGCAAAACGCGCTAGCGTAGTTATGCGTCGCGGACTTCCCAACTGTACTATGTTAACATTTTATCCATTTTATATTTGTACTCGTATTTATATTCTCACTTACGATTCCACTTTAAACATTGCCGCGTGCTCAAACTCAAACCATATTGCATTTTAAATGTTACAACCGAATGCGGTTTTACCCAATGCTACTTTTTTTTTAATTTTTGTTAGTTCAATATTGTGGCGGTGAACTTGTGTTGTGGTTTAATTAAATTGAAAAAATAACCGCTTATATTGACTCAGTAAAGCATGTTTACCAGTCACTTCAGTTTAATTTTCTCCTCATAAAATTAACCGGAACAATAAGTTTTATTTTAAATGGGATTACATAATCAATAGCTTTTGACGTGACTCTAAATTTTACTATCGTCATTGCGGTTCGATCTTCCGGCGCAGTGTGATTTTTAGAAAATGAATAAAACAATCACGTAGCAATGGCAAACATTTTTCATTAATTATTCAGTATATAGACGTGGTAGCCCAATGTCCAGGTGCTCGTTTTTAATTCATTATAAGTACTCGAGCAACTTTAATTCAAATCTCGGTGCCGGCACCAATAAAATTGTTAATGAAATTTTAAGTGCTGACTTCTAACGTGATTAGCGCCGCTGGAAAACATCGTCATCGCTGTTACTGTATTTTTTTTCAGTGTATTATATGTAATCAAGACATACCTGATGAACCCTTATTACAGTAACAGTTTACAGTACTGTAATTTTCAAACTACTCATATTCAGTAAACACTTCATCATTTCATCATTTCAGCCTGTTTGAGTCCACTGCTGAACATAGGCCTCCCCCACAGACTGCCACGAAGTACGATCCTGAGCCACCTGCATCCATCGACTTCCCGCACATTTGCACAGGTCGTCACTCCATCTAGTGGGGGGTCGTCCTACACTGCGATGGCCAGTACGAGGCTGCACTCGAGAACCTTTCTTCCCCAACGGTTATCGGTTCTACGAGCTATATGGCCGGCCCATCGCCACTTCAGCTTGCTAATCCTCTGAGCTATGTCGGTTACCTTGGTTCTACTGCGGATGTCTTCGTTACGAACTCTATCACGCAGAGAAATACCGAGCATAGCCCGCTCCATAGCTCGCTGAGCGACTTTGAGCTTCCTCATACGGCCAGCAGTGAAGGACCACGTCTCGGTTCCGTAGGTCATCACTGGCAATACACATTGATTGAAGACTTTAGTCTTCAAACATTGAGGTATATTCGACGAGAAGATTTGCCGAAGTTTCCCGAACGCTGCCCATCCGAGTTGGATTCGCCGATTGACCTCTGCGTCGAAGTTGGACTTACCTAGCCGGACTAACTGTCCTAGGTAAACGTACTCGTCAACAACTTCGAGCTCAGTGCTCCCAACGACAACCGGTATAGGCGTGACATGGACATTAGATATGATCTTCGTCTTGTCCATGTTCATCTTAAGGCCCACCCGTTGGGAGATACTGTTGAGGTCATTGAGCATAGCACCCAGGTCCTCCAGCGATTCTGCCATGATGACTATATCGTCGGCAAATCGAAGGTGGGTGATGTATTCGCCATTGATGTTAATACCTCGTCCTTTCCAGTCCAGAAGCTTGAAAACATCTTCCAACGCAGCGGTGAAGAGTTTCGGGGATATGACATCACCCTGTCTTACACCCTTCTGCAGATGGATAGGTTTTGTACTACTGGACTGTACTTGGACGGACATCGTAGCCTTGTTATACAAACACCTCAGCACTTCGATATACCGATAGTCAATTTGGCACCGCTGAAGAGCCTGGAGTACCGCCCAAATTTCGACAGAATCGAAGGCTTTCTCATAGTCCACATACGCTAGGCACAAAGGCAGATTATACTCTTCCGTCTTCTGTATAACCTGCCGCAAGGTGTGTATGTGGTCTATGGTACTCACACATGTGTGTGGCTCCAACGACGATGTGTACAGCTGTCCATAAAACCTCTCAATCTCACTCAAAACCTCTGGTCTACTGGAGATGACAGCCCCGCTGTCAGTCTTCAACTTGGTCAGTTGGCTTTGTCCGATAGACAGATCTCTGGCGAAGACTTTTGAGCCTAGGTTCCGCTCTATAGCTCCCTCAATACGAGCTGTATTGAAGATGCGTAAGTCTCGACGCATGCATTTGGAGATCTGCCTATAAGCCGCCTGTAGTCTGACATGTCAGCTAAAGACTGCAGTCGCATCTCACGTCTTTTTCCCAAGAGGTTAAGAGAGTGATCGGAGAGTTTTTGCGTTCTATTTGTGGGGCGGGCCTTATAAAATTTAAGGCCCACGGCATGGACAGTTTCCACGAGCTTAAAGTTAATATCGTCCACAGTGCTGCAATTTTCTAGGCATTGGAAGCGATTATGTAGCTCGAGCCGAAAGCTTTCGGAGTTCTGGATATGGGCAAGAGATGGTCGGAGTGTGGACTTCATTAGACGAGATCTTTCCAGCCTGATATTAATATTCAATGTGCCTCTCACCAATCGGTGATCACTGCCGGTCTTCACCCTTGTGATCACAGAGACATCATTGAATATTTGCCGTTTGTTCGTCATAATGAAGTCTATCTCGTTTTTTACAGAACCATCGGGGCTAATCCAGGTCCACTTCCTGTGGGGCTGCTTTTTGAAGAAAGAGTTCATCATAAAGAGTCCCTCCTTCTCCATAAAGTCAGCCAGCTGCTGCCCCCTTGGGTTCCGTTGCCCTATACCAAAACTTCCTACTCTCAGCTCATCGTCTTTCCTTTTGCCTAGTTTTGCGTTGAAGTCTCCCATTAACACCATGTATTGAGTTTTGGAGGAATGTATGGCTCGTGATATATCCTCATACATTGCCTCCACCTCATCATCGGGATGTGTCGACGTTGGTGCGTAGACCTGTATGACCTTCAGCGAATACCGTTTGGATATTCTGAGTATAAGGTACGCAACCCTCGACGACACACCCTCGATTTTAACAACATTGTTAATGAGAGACTTGTGGACGATAAATCCGACACCTCCTTGGGACAGTTGGTCGCCCTCCCGGTGGTAAAACAGGTTGCCGGATTCGAGGATTATCGTGTCCTCCCCCTGTCTTCGGACTTCAGATAATCCTATTATATCCCAGCGCAGCCTGTTCACCTCTTCTTCCAGCTCTGTAATCTTCTCGTCAGTCCTCAATGTTCTTGCGTTGTATGTTGCCAGGTCCAGTCGCCGTCGTTGGTAGCCGAATCCTAGCCGGGGATTCTTAGCACCCCCTGCCCTGCCGTTACCATGACCGCTACCGTAGCCAGGAATAGCAGGGCCGCCGGGAACTGGGGGCCATACACCTTGGACTTCCATTCATGAGGGGTTTTTTGCCATAGTTGCCACGCTTGGCGAGCGGGTTGGCAACCGCAGTTCTTCCAGACACCTCGCTCCTTCAACGCTGCTGCCCGTTATTGGCCTGGATATTTGGGTCTGGAGAGTTAGGATGGTTATCCCGCCATCTATCGGAGGCCACCGGATGTTTGTGGCTTATCCCTTAGTCGCCTCTTACGACACCCACGGGATGAGATGGGGTGGCTTATTCTTACGCCGACACCACACGGCAAGTAAACACTTACAGATATTAAATTTTTGATCCTTGCCAAGCTTGAACCTTTAAGCTTTGTTGTAACTAATTGTTGTATTAAAATTTGATTTAACTTTAGGTTGTCGTTGTGTCTTCTATTCTTATCAAAAACCGGAAGAACCAAGTCCTCCCTCTGATGTGATGTGGCCTTTTTTTAATGTGGGCAAAATCCTTTATGGATCTCTGCCACCGTATCCGGGGAGTGTCAGGAGTATGTGAGAGTCCCGGACGGAACCGTTTCTCGAGAGCTGCGTTGCACGGTAAATAAGGGTGCCGTGTCGCCTATCCAGCCACCTCCTGAGGACAGGACATATGCCCTCCACGGTCCTTAGGCCGGCACTGCTTCCTCTCTTCGGAGGAGTCCTCCCCGATGGCGTTTGAGCGCCTCCGGGGCCGTCATATGCCCTGGGCTTTTGCCTCCTCACGACAGGCGAGGATCGAGTGATGAGGCCTGCCCACTGCCTCAGTTTACAAATCCGGAAAAATTACGGTTCCGAGTTAATGATGGGTTCACCTACTTTAAGATGGAAAGTAAAAGTTTTGTAAGACTAATAGCGCTACATTCAGAAAATGAATGTGAACTACGATTGAAACTATTTATTTCATGATAAAAATTCATGCTCTAAGTAAGTGACATACCTTTTAACATTAAATGACTTTCCTGTAACTGAATTTTTATTCATATCATATCATATTTTGTCACTCACGATCGGACTCAGAAACGCTATATGCGCTATAAATATTAATAATTTAATATATGTGTAATGTAGAGTCTTTAGTCTTAAAGACCTAAATTCGCAAAGCGAAAGGGTTTAAAGTTTAAAGTGTTTATTTATTTATTTATTTATTTATTTATCACCAACAAAGTACACACTGTGACAGAAGAATTATACAAGATATGCAAAAAAGTGATGAGTGGTACCTTAATTATAGGTAAAAACTACATTACAACAGGCAGTGGAGACAAAAACCAAAAAACTTTTACAAAAAACTTTTACAAAACTAAATGTGAAATACGAGCATTACAATAATACAAACATTAACTAAAATACGGTAAAAACAGAAAAAAAAATAAAGCAGTATAAAAAAAAAGAAAAGTTACTAAAAAAAAAAACATGTTACAATAAAAAAAAATATATGAATTGGCTGGTGAAGATATTAACAATTTATAAAAATATTGTTGGCACTTAAGTACAATTTAATCGAATGTTTGAATCGGGATATATTATTGTCAAAAATATCGACTTCTGTTACCTTATTTAATAAGTTGAATGATTTAATTAATCTATTAATAGTGTTGCATATTTAATCGTCAATAGTTTAGAACACGGATGAGAAACGCGCGGCCCGCGGGCCTCTTGCGGCCTCTTAAACATGTTTATGCGGCCCACCAAGCATTTCTAAAATTGAATTTATTTTATCGAATTTCTCCCATCAATATATTGTTCATCAATATAAAATAAATTATAATAAAATGATACATACTGAACCGAAATATTTTTTGTTCGTCTTTCTGTTCTTTTCTTGTTTGTTTTTACCTTGCATTAAAATTTGTATATGAAATATTTACTTTTTTTAATTTTATATTTTTTATTCTAATATTTATTATAAATAAATTTTCGTAAATTATTATGTGCGGCCCGTCAAAAAAATTTGAAATTTAAATTGGCCCATTGATTAAACAGGTTGCTCACCCCTGGTTTAGAACATAAATAACTCACGGAACCCTCACTAATTTTTGTATACTTTAAAGAGAATCCAAGTAGAATTAAATATATATAAGTATGCCTACGCTTCAACATTAAAGATATTCGTTCACAACTCGAGGAACTCGAATACTCACAATAGGATTTTTAATAAAGTTACGCAAAAGTTATTTTTGATCATACAACCGAAGGCGATAATGTTTCTTTAAAATCCTTATTATCCATCCACCTTAAGCAATTAACTTACCGAAGATTAGTTCGGCAATGCTTGTACTAATTCGCAATGAAGACTTCCCGATTTGACATAATAAGTTACTTAGACGAGCTAATTAGCGTACGTGCGAGCGAATGCGCTGAGAATAAATGGCGCCGCGCCGACCCGATATAGAGAGCGGCGTGGACGGAGCTCAGCTTCCCAGAAAGCGTTTTCCTCGTCACAGCGCGGTGACGAATCAGCTACGTCACTGGTGACGCGGCGCCCCTGATAAAAAGCAGGTGGGGGCCGCGCCGCGGGCCCTAGTGGAGCTCGCGCCAGCACGCGGCAAGCCGCACTCCCGCGTCAGCCCCAGCCCGCAGCCGCCACACTGGCCCCCCGCCATGCCTGCATGGAGCCTGCGCCCCCAACGCCCTCCACCGACTCCGAGGCCGACTCGGGGGATGAATCCGTCCCCGCCGGTAAAGTGACGCGACCTTACAGTGTGTTCAATTTCGCGGATCAATGTCGAAAAGGACCCAATTACGCGAGTGATTTGATTGTCTAGGTGGTGTGTATCGGAAATTCAGGATGTAAGGTCTTTGTCAGTGAAAGTCCGCTACCGGTGCTGCTATCTGGAAGAACGGATGTTTGTGATTCCATAAAAGTTTTAAATAATACGGGAAGTTGTTTAATAAGATGTGTGTTCATAAAATTTTTGATGTAAAAAGGGATTTGTATAGCCTAAGATATTATGTTCGGGATGTGGTATGTTGTTCATTCTTGTGCCTAAAGTTCGATCTTTTTGAATGCATTTTGTGATGACCTTGACATATTAAGCAACTGGATTTTGTTCCGAATAACAAGAGGAAAAGAAATGTGAATTTCAATAAAAACATATTTAATTACTCAAACAATAAATTTCTGATAATTAGATTTTATATAAGTAATACAATTAAATCGCCGGGTGGGAGTTTTCTGTAAACGAAGTCTTTCATTTTATATCTCCTTCACTTAAAAACTTAGTGACTCAATAAAATAACAAATTTAAAATTGGCTTAGAAATATTATTTTATAGTTATGGCTACTATTTATTATTAAAATTGTATTATTACGAAAATAACCTCAAAATTTTCTGTAGTCGTTTGATGAAAAAATTCATAATAATGGTCTTAATGGTATGCATTGTAGTTGTTATTCTAGCTTGCAATTATTTAGATTAGACTCTCAAGTTTGGTTTAGGTTCGAAAACCTTTTTAACAAAACGTATTCTTAATATAATACTCGCACACAACATAACAATTAGGAATCGGGTAAATCTGACAAGTTCATAAACTGTATGCGATACAATATACAAATTCGTCTTACCGTGAAATCAATTCAGTGAAACATCTTACATTAGGTACTCAAAAGCAAAGAAAACGCAATTTGTCCCGATATTCGTCTATTACCAACCGTAGGCCTATCTGAAGGGATGCACTTGAAAGCTTGAAGCTTTTCCAAACGGGCTCAATACATTGGTTTCGTGCTATTCACAGCTTTTTATACTAAAGGGTCAGCCACTACTTTATACGGACGGAACAGTTAAGATACTGCAAATTTTCTGATTAACTAATATGTATTTTCAGTACAATTGAATGTAAACACTTCATTATTTAAGATACGAATATTAATGTAAATTTTGCAATTCCTCATGCCATCTTTTAAGTTTCTCAGATTTTGCTCCAGAAAAATAAATCGATAGATTTTTTGATTTTACGAATTATCAATGTACTGATTTACTTACTAATCCTTACTAATATTATAAAGGCGAAAGTTTGCATGTATGGATGGATGTTTGTCACTCTTTCATGCAAATACTACTCAATGGACTGAAATGATTTTAATGAAACTTTACAATAATATAGCTTATATATCAGAATAAGATTTTATATATATCTGTCTTTCTGTCTGAATGTTACGCCTGCAGCCTATTCTACGCAGACGTAGTCGCGGGCAGCAGCTAGTATTGTATAGATATTTAAAAACGTGCGTATCACATAAACATACATCTTTACAAAATGTTTATTGCATATACTTAAATATTTTTTATGTGTACAAATAAATAAAACTTCCTTTTTTATAATAGATATACATTGAAAAATACCTCTGATATCCGGTACTGAACAAAATTTAAGACTGCGCTAGTTACATTTCCCAAGAGACACTAATTATCCACTTCACAATTAAAAATAAGTTGAATGAAAATATAAGTTACTTATTAAGTCATACTACCTATTATTGTTTAGGCGTCTATAAGCAAGTTTTATAAAATATAATAAAACTATTAAGTAAACTTTCAACATTTCATATCCGGTTTTCTTCCGTGCATAACAACAAATAACACTGTCTATAAAACAATTGTTAAAGACATTTTTCTAGCAACAATATTGTTTAAATAAGTAAGACATTTGTCATCTTAGTCCTGATACTTTTGCTTTCCATTAAGACCATTGATTTAGGATATTTATGTTAAGAACCAACCTTGACGTACGGATTCAATGCATGTGCGTAAAATAATAATTAAAAAAAAATCGGTGAACCTTAAATGCACGTTATTTGTTTATTAGACAGGAATTTCATAGAAAGCTCTTTAATGTAAAATAACCTAATGCCATTTAACGCTATACAAATACTGTATTAAAAAAAAACTCGGAAAGTATTTATTTGAAAATGGCACGAAAAATTTACATCTTTATTGATGTCTAAACTGACTCGTAGTTAAAAAGTCTCTCAATTGCTATATTACGCATTCCAGTGCGCAAGTAGACTTCACATGGACATAATTTTCTATACTTTTTTTAACTTCGCTGACTATAACTACATCGTACTTCATTCAAGAATGGGAATCCAGAGTCTCTGAACACGTCCAATAATGGATTTAATTTCTGTAAGCCCTTGAGAAATACGCTAGGAGAAATATTCATCGGTCAACCAACTTTAGTGTCTCCAAAAAATAAGATAAAATAGTTTTAGATGACATAGTTTTATATTGTAGTAATAATAATATAAGGTATCGAGATCTTATCAGCAGCTTTTAGAAAAACATAAAAATAATGTAAATAAACAAAACAAGGTTTTTCTGTCGTTGATGGAAAGTACATTTACATGTTATACCTGTAGTTGAAATTTGCATGAATAACAATGAAATAGTTTTTATAAGTAGATAAAAGTAAGTAAGAAAATAATAGAATATTGTATAATAAGTTTTTACAGTGCACTCTGCACTTAAGATGAAATATTAAAATTTGTACAAAAATGGACGAAAAGTTATTCGCCGCCACGGGAATCGAACCCGCGTCTTCCGAAATTTTTATAATAGATAGCTTAGGAATTTTCAATTAAGTATTTTCAAACTGACTTGTGCCAAACCTATTAACTGAAAAATGTAGATGAAAGTGTGTAGATATGTCTAGAAATTTGTCATAAAGTCATTAAAATTCATGAGCGAGGGCAGGTACAATTATGGGAAGTTCTTTGTAAGTGATACGTGTGAATTTCGTCCCCAGACCCTGCAAAGTGGGAGCGTCGCGACGTGGTGCGGTGCGTGCGCTGGGTGGCGAGGAAGTTTGGGGTGCGATCGCCTCGGCGCAGTTTGCTGCCGCGCACTGGGCCTGCACTGCTGGCCCTCGGCACCGACGGCTGGCTCCAGGTGCAGTAAATCCTTGATAAGGATTCTAATCAAACACCAGTTTGAACGTAATTAAATCTTCCTACGGACCTCTGCAAACCTTTATGAGTGCCTTCGATGCGGACGGATAAACCTAAATTTGAATATTCTCGATGGACATCCAACTACTACCGGTAGAACCGAATAAAAAGCTAGAGAAAAGCGGAAGTATCTGTTTCTTTGCGTTTAACGAACTGTAAACCCACGCTTGTCTTGGGCTCCGGCCACCTCACTCACGAGACGAAACGCGAAAGTATTATACTTTCACTTGACGCCGGTCTTCTGTGAGGTCGTGGTACTTACCCGGACGAGCCTGCCCATTCGTGCAACAGCCGAGGCTGCTGCGTGGCCCTACCACCGCAAAATGTATGATGTGTATGTGATTATTGGCGGCAGGTGTGCGAGGGCTGTGAGCCGGCGGCGCGCATCTTCAGCGCGTACGTGGCGCACGCGCACGCAAGCGCCACCGGCCTGCCCCCACCGGCGCCGCTGCCCGAGCACCAGGCGGCAGGCACCAGCGGCCAGGACCACTCACCACTACCCGGTAAGCCTATTGTATCGCTTTTGTGCCACAAGCCTTTAAGCTTGCAAACACGAAAGTATTTGTATTTCGTAAGGTTAAGTGCTGATGTAACTAACACGTGCTCGATACCGGCGGTGAAAAAAAAAGTCCATAGGACCTGTAAATCATTTACTTCATAGATATGTCAAGTCCAGAAAAAGTGCTAACAGTTCCTAGGGACTCGTTTTTAATTTCGTGTTCAGTTCTAGTTTTAGTGCTTATGACTAACGGTGAAGTTGTACATCTTTGGAAAACCTGCATATCTGCGAAATTAAAAAGAAATTTATGTTTGAGAAATACTCGAAACTGCCGCTTGAGTTACGAGCTACGAGTTTCGACCTGCAACCCGTCGAAAATATTTGTTTCTTTTGCCCAGTGGGCAGACCTTTGACCAGTGGAACATATTTATTCTCTAGGCTATAACTTCGGCCGACGTCAATAGCAATGCAATTCAGAACATTGCAATCCTCGTCCAAAAATATTATTTGTCCTATGTTGACCTAATTGTAATATATTTTTTTAAAATTCTTTCTCGTTTTCACAACGGCACTCGATTACAATGTTAATTTTAATTATTTAGCTTTTTCTTTTACTCCATATATGTACCAGTATTGTAGGGGAAATGCGGGTAAGACGGGGACGTTAAGGTAAAGTAGTAAAAAAACCGGGTATTTAAAATAATATCAGTGTTATTTATTAATCAAACATTAATTACTTATTATCGTTTTATTTGGCATAGCTTTGGACTTGGTAACTAATCATACAAAAATTAGAAAATTATAATTATCAAAAATGGAAAATACACCATCTTACCTCACATATGAGGTAAGACGGGATACTAAATATGGGGCAAGATAGGTACAGAGGGTAAGATGGGGACTAATTTTCTTCACACAAAATACATATCAAAACATCCTCCATATCTTCGTCGTCGACTCCAGCACAAGCTGTGTGGGCCCATCGTCCACACCGCTGACACCCTACCCAGTTTTCCGACGATTTTAGATAAGAATTGTTTTCATCATTACAATATAAACAAATTGTATCTTCTTGTGATCCTTTTCTTGTTGCGCTCTTGTTTCCTTTGCCTTTACCTTTACCTTTGGCCTTCTTAGTTGTGGTATTATCAACAGCTAGTTTCACAGGTCTTTTTCTTTCTTCTACTTCTTTTTTATACGGAGTGGAAGTAATGATGGCGGTTTTACCCCTTCGGTATTGTTTTCTTCTTTCATTAGACTGAATTACTGGTATGGCTATGATATCATTAGGAGAGGCATTATTAAAACTAGACGTGAGATCACGGCAAACTGCTCGAACAGGAAATCTAGTTTGTGCTGCATGTAAAGATGAAGGTCCAGGCTGTGATGCAGTTTCAGGTTCATCAACAAGTGGGGTTATTGACTGGGTTTGAGGTGAAATATAATAATTAGGAGTTGCGGGCTGTGTAGGCGTGCAGTAATCTTGTGAAGATATTAGACTGGTCTCAGTACATGTTTGCAAACGAATAGATTGAGAATTGCTGTCAAGTTGAGCATTCCTTTCATTAGTCTGTGCTTGTTCTGCAGGAGTATCATTAGCTGTGGATAGCCTGTCCTCGATAACAGCATGTCGCTCGGTGGAAATGTCCGAAAATGGTAAATTGATGGGAGCAGATGTAGCCGGAATGTCTTCATTAACTAGACGGTTGGTTGTTTCAGCAGGCAAAAAATCTACATCAGTAAAATTGTCTTGATTGTATGGCCATATACCACATTTCCTGAAACCATTCAATGCCGTGTTCATAGTAGCTGCCTGAAGATATGCTTGCCCAAATATTTCACTTATTTGAAACATGGTCAGCACTCGGCCTGGGTGCGAACGTAACCAGTTGGTAGCAGCATGGTCGTAATAAATGCTTAAAGGCCTCATAAATGTAACATCTGCAGGTTGCAACCTGTGGGTACAGTGTGGAGGAAAGCAAAGTATAATTACTCCGTTTTGACGAGCTATGTCTATAACTTCTAAATTTTGAGTATGACTTACATGACCGTCAAGAAGTAGCAGCACTTTATTGTCAAGAGAAGCTCCTGAAAATTGTATAAATTGCTTGAACCAGATCGTAAATATTTCCGTGGTTATCCATCCTCGTGGATTGCAGGCAGCTGTTGTCCCTGGTGGAGCATGATCTAATAGTTCAGCTTTCATGCGCTGTCGTGGAAATATCATGAGTGGTGGCATATAGTTTCCAGCTGCGTTAAAGCAAATTTCCACTGTGACAGTCTGACCTCGTTCTGCTGATGACAACGACCCAACTTGTTTTCTTCCCTTGACAGCTATTATTTTGCTTTTAGTTTTCGAAACAACAGATATACCAGTTTCATCGCAGTTAAATATCTTGTCCGGTGTTAATTTATGTTGGTCGTAGATGTCGCCGAGTAACTGGTAAAACTTTCCAACAGCAATTTTATTGAATCCCATTGCACGAGCTGCAGACGTAGCTTCTGGCTTACGAATAGATAAATTCGGATGACGATCTAAGAAACCTCTGAGCCAGGCGTTACCAGCCATTTTTTTTTCTTTGTTAAAGTTATGTTTCTTATTGTTTCTAACAGCCAACTCATATACCATCCGTCTCAGATCAAGAGTAGTTAAACCGTATAGCCGTTCTTCCATATGTTTTAAATATCCCGCTATTTCTGCCTCTTCTTCAACGCTAAATACTTTTTTTATAGGCCCTAATGGCTCGCTGAACGTTACTTCCTTACCTTGTTTCACTTTATTGACATAACGCTCTAACGTGGTTTGCGGAACACCATAAGTAGAAGCTGCTTTTCGAAATCCTGATTTTTTTGCCAATACGTCTTCTACTGCTTTTTTCATAGCTTCTTTAGACCACTCTCCTCTTTTTGTCTTTTTTTTATAATTTCGTACCATTGTACCATACCCCTGTTACCTGAAAAACAAAATGGTAGCAATGTCACGACAAGCACAATACCATAAGCCTGTTGAAAGAGGCAAGATGGGGTAATGCCCCATCATGCCTCGCAAAGTTTGCCCCGTTTTGCCTTCACCTCCATAATTCAGCAAAAATATTAGTAAAAAAAACACACGAAATTCCAAGCGTTTAGACTTACGCCCCACGATAATTAATACATTCACGAATGCGTTACAAAATCTACGATAATCAGGCACTAATACTTACTGCTTAATAACAAATTATTCAGAACTTAAATCATAGATCGATGATATCGGTAAACAAGTTTTGACCTGCACCGACTAAACGCATGCACTCTCACTCGCTGCCGACGTCGGACTAATAGTCGCTCGGGAGAGGCGTCCCGTTGGCCATTACGATGCGTTAGTGTAGTGTATAGTTTCGTCTATGTGTGGGGGGCCCCGTCTTACCCCGTGTCCCCGTCTTATCCGTATCTCCCCTATTACTTAAATTCAGTTTTAGTACATAATTTAATTCACATTGTATTTATATTATATTAAATTATATAAGTAGTGATACAATGCAATTAAATATTCTCTTCTGATATGGGGTAAGGTTATCTTTTTATTTTTATCAAACTTGAAAGAGAACTTTTCGAAGTTCTGACAGTATGGGACAGCGCCATCTTGCGTCGGTCTACGCTAAGCGCGACAAACGCGCGCCAAAAAACTATGAATGAAAATGTGCGGGGCAGGTGAGTCATTGCATATCGGCGCGCCATTCATCCTCCATAAAGTTGATTCAGCGTAATTCTCGGAAAACAATCACAATGCGGCCAGCCGAAACTAACTAGTATCTTTTTAATCGAACTGATTACGTTCGACTATCACGAAGCCCTACTGTAAATCTAAAGACTAACCGTGAGTTAGAGAGAAAGTATAGATCCGCATTATAATCTCTTAATCCTCTTAATAATAATAATCCTAATTTTTATTTTGTCATAGCTGGATTAAAGTTTTGCGACTTTATATCGAGTCCCTAATTGAAACCGTCGATTTGCCTGAATAAATTACCGAACTTCGGAAAATCTTATTATTATAACAATTTATCTATTACCCGCCCTGGCTTCACACGGGTGCAATGTAGATAAATGTAAAATGTAAAAGACAAAAATCGTTACTATGGGCTATCCTTGGGAGATAAACGTACATATACCATCGCGCACTTATTTCTCAATCTTTTAAAGATATACAATTCCGTAGTACATTAATTTGATCTATCTCGTAAGGTTTAGCCAGCGTTTGCAATGTAAGCGCACAAAAATATGTCTGTTTACATCACATTACAAATCTTTAAAATTTTCTCTTGAACAATATGCATGTATACTACTCGTACATATAAACCTTCCTCTTTATGCTGAAAACTACCTTAAAATCCGTTGCGTAATTTAAAAGATACATAACAGCGGGAGCGACTTTGTGTTATTTGAAGTAAATGCATATTTTTTCACAGCGTTGACTAGTCTCAAACTAAGCAAAGCTTGTACTATGGGTACTAGGTTACTGAAAAACACACTTAAACGTATTTTTCTTTTGTAAATAAATATGCATTATAGATATATAAACACCCAGACACTCGAAACACTATGTTTATCATACAATATTTTTCCAGTTGTGTGGATCGAACCGACACCCTCTAGAGCAAGGGACAGGGTCTCTATCTTCTACGCCAATTGGGTTGTCGATTACTGCTGGACTCAGCAAGAAAGAAATAACGACGCTTGTCAGAATATAGCATAGGCACGGTTGTCACGTGTGATCGTCTTGCGTTGATTAAATTACAACGATTTAAAGAATTTACAATTTTTGATTTTTTTTTCATCGCAGTGTGGGATGTCCCCCTACTAGATGGAGTGACGACCTGTGCAAATGTGCGGGAAGTCGATGGATGCAGGTGGCTCAGGATCGTACTTCGTGGGAGTCTATGCGGGAGGCCTATGTTCAGCAGTGGACTCAAACAGGCTGAAATGATGATGATGATGATGATGAAAGAATTTACAAAGATATAG